GAGGAGGATGAATGGAAGAATGGGGAGGGAAGATAAATGTAAGATAATAGCGAAGACATTGAAAATGAGGACGAAATTAAAAACATGTCCTTCCACGTGAAGACCCCGTATCCGGACTTCTCATCTCGCGCGTACTGGCCGGCGAACGATTGGCCGTTGGCCCACGTGTAGCGGCCGCATCCGTGAAGCTGCCCGTCGGACCACAGACCAGAGTACTGGCGCCCGTCCTTGCCTCTGTACCGGCCGATGCCATCGATCTTATTGTCGCGCCACTGGCCTGGAGGACGACAACGACACACGTGCCGCACCTCACATGTGTATGCGTGCGCGTGTGCAGATACTGATCAGACAGATTCAGCGTCGTCGCTGACACCCATGATCTCTTTTTTGGGCCGGGGCAGCATGGCTCATTCTCGGGAGGGATGCGCCCACGAAAACAGAATAGATATCTCCACATCCCCCACTAGCTCCTCTTATTGCGCCCTCCTGCATCCGACCCTCCCCCTCCCAGGTCGGATGGTCACCAAGGCCTCTTCCTCCTCCTCCTCCTCTTCCGTCTCCTCCTCCCCCTTCCTCCTCCTCCCCCACCTCCTCCTCCTCCTCCTCCTCCTCCTCCTTCTCCTCCTCCTCCTCCTCCCCCTCCTCCTCCCCCACCTCCTCCTCTTCCTCCTCCTCCTTTTCCATGGCCATACGGGGGGAAGATCCGCAGGCTGCAGATCAATCCATCTCGAGCGAAGCACGCTGGCGACGAGGGACGGTCGGACCCGATCAAACCACGCCCAGCCAGGCGTCGAGGGCCGAGGATGTTTCCAGCCGCGCCCAGCAGCGTGCCGCAGGTAGGCGGGCCTCTACCGGCTACCCGTCCCGCTCGAAGCTGCTCCATGGGGAAGGCCTTGTCGTTGGCCTTGGCTGGGCCGGCGCACTGCCTGACGAGTTTGACGAAGAGCTGGCGCGCTTCGTTCGTGGTCACGCACCCGTCCCCGTCGCTCGTGCCTTTCAACAAGCTTGGCCTCCCAAGCAGCGTGATGAGTTTCTCGCCCGCGTTCTTGTCCAAAGTCTGCCTTGTGCACCTTCTGAACCTTCGGCACCTTCGCTATATTCGGCACCTCCGTTATCTCCGACTCGTCTTTGGCGTCACCTCCGCTGTCTGATCGCAGTGCTGGGTATCTTGCGGAACTGAATCTTCTTGGTGGCGAGGATTGTCACTAGACTGGAAAACACTCCGAACATGCTCATGCGGGCTTATGCGGGGAAAAATGACGATGGTATTGGCCGGCTTCGACTTCACCATAAAGGTCTTACCAGTTATCTTCAGCTTCCTGGCCTTGGTCTCCTTCTTCTGGCAGGTCGTGATCATCATGACACCCGAAATGACGATCTTGACGATGATCTCCGTGGGGAATGCCTTGGCTGCCGTGGCGATGGTCGTGGACGGCTGCGCCTTCATCACGACGGTCTTGCTGATGGTCTCCTGCTTCGCGGCCTTTGTCGCCTTCTTCCAACGGGTCTTGATCATCACGACTGTGTTCATCTCGACTGTCCGCCTTCGGCACCTTCGGCGCTTCCGCTATCTTCGGCGACTCCCCTGTCCAATACCTTCGCTATCTTCGATTCGTCATTGAATTTCTCTGCATTCGGCACCTCCGCTATCGTACCGAGGTCTTGGGTGCCAAGAGGATCTTTATCTCCTTGGATAGCGAGGCTGTTCGCCAGACCAGGCAGCACTCCGAACTCGTCCTTGATGGCCCCGTTGGGAAAGCGTTGATGACGACATTGGCTGGCTTCGTCTTCACCACGACGGTCTTGCCGATGATCGCCAGCTTCCTGACCTTGGTCGCCTTCTTCCGACAAGCCTCGATCCACACAACACCCTGTGGAAGGATCATCTCGTTCGTGTTCAAGTTGATAATCGTGACGCTGGGCCCCGTCTTGGCCCATCTGCCGTTCTTACGAATCGTGCAGCCCATCATCTGCACGTCGCTGTACTTCTCTGCCTTCTTGCTCCTCTGGCTTCTTTGTCTCCTCTGCCTTCTTGGCCTCTTCTGCCTTGACGCTTTCTTGGACTCCTCCGACTTCTGGGTCCTTTGTACGGGCCTCCCCAGTCTTCTGGGTCTCCTCCGCCTTCTTGGTCTCCTCAGTCTTGACGATGTCCTGGTCTCCTCCGACTTCGTGGTCTCCAGTCCGAGGCCTCCACCTGATTGGTTTCCTCGGTCTTGAGGCTCGTTTCCATCGCGGTTATGACCCAGTAGCCCGATTCCCCGGAGACGAACTCGTTGGCGAGAGTGTTGAAGATGAAACGATTGGTTTCCTCTGCCTCCTTGGTCTCCTCTCCTCTGCCTTCGCGGGGACGAACTCAACGGCGATGATGTTGAAGAGGAAGCTGGAGGGCTGTCCGCATTCGAGACGCGATCCTTTTTGATGCCTCTTCGATCGGCGTGCGGGCGCTCTCGCCACTTTCTGGCCATGGGCATCTGCATGTGATGCCACGTTTCTCCTCAGGGTCTCCTGGGGCAGCGGTATGCGGCCTCGTAGCCCAGGTGCGGAACGATGGCCGATATCCGACCGGCCTCTCTCGTCCGAGCCGGAGACGAGTGGAACGCAGGATGGGATGCACTTGTAATCGCCCTGGCCCTCGACCTGCTCCAGCTCCCTGGTCAGCTCCATGACTGCGCGGTCCGCGCTCCACGAAGGATTGCAAAAAAAACCAGGATAGCAAAACAAAAACCCAGGTTTTGCAAAAAGTGTTTTTTTGCAAAACCCAGGGTTTTTTTTGCAATCCTTTGCAATCCAGGTTTTTTTGCAATCCAGGTTTTTTTTTGCAATCCTTCGGTGTTTTTTTGCAATCCTTCGGCCCAATCCCGTCGGGCCTTGCGGTCCGCCGCCGTCGGGCGGTCAGGGCGGACACCCTCCGCTCCGGCGCGCACGGCGCGCCGTCCCGCGGCCACACTGTTCCCGTCCTCCGTCGGCCCGCCCGCCTCTGGGCCGCCAGCAAAGCGCCCTCGGCCGTGGGCAAAAGGCTGCGGAGAAAGCCGGAACCTGGCCTGAGCCAAAAAGGCTACGGTCGTCCTCCTCCTCCTCCTCCTCCTCCTCCTCCTCCTCCTCCGTCTCCTCCTCCTCCTCCTCCTCCGTCTCCTCCTCCTCCATCCTCAGTGTCATCCCCCTCTCCCACCATGAAGAAAACGGCGTCCCCCAGAGTCAATTCTTCGTGCTGAGATGCTTCCTTACAGTCCCAGGGCCGGCGAGGGTTCCCAGAGCCCAAACATGGCAAAACACCCCAGGACCCGTTCCCCTCAGGACCCGTTCGCTTCCTGGCGATCTTCATCGTCCCTCACCCTCCCAGTCCTTCTCTTTTTGCCTCCTCTGAGGGGCAACATTCGGGGGGAACGCCCGGGGGGGGGAAACATGAAGCTTCAATCGATCATACATCGCTGGCAGGTCGGCGATAGGCACTCGATAGTGAATCACCCACGTTCCTGCGCGGGATGGGCCATGGGGCACCTGTCGGCGATGAATGGGCGATTGGGGGTCGATGCATCCCCTACGAAGCCTATCCCCCTTACGGTTGGACCGTGTGCGCTTCTTTACGCGCTCCCGCCACGCTCCGTCGCGCGGGCCTGCCTGCGTACTCGGAGCCCTCGGGCCAGTGGTACACCCCGTGCCCGGATTTCTGGCCCCGGACGAACTCCCCAGCGAACCTGGACTTGTCGGGCCACAGCTCCTCGCCGTACCTCGAGGAACTATCGGCGAGCGACGCTTTATCCGTACCCCTGCTCTCGCCAGAACTCTACGTTTTTGATCCATGCCCAAGGCCCCCGCTGGCGTCTAGTGGGGGCCAGCAGCAGGGTATGGATCGAACGTCGATCCCCGAGAATCAGGATCGGCGTCACCCCACATTACTAAGACTGTGTGCGTCGCCCCCGCCCTAGGGGCGACGCGCAAAACATTTCATAATATACGCTCTGTGGCGGGCGCTTTCTGGCCATCTCGCTCGGGAAACGATACACGACAGGATGGTTGTACTAGATGTCCGGGTCGGAGGCACGCCTCCGAGGAGGACACATAATATGTCCTTGCGCGTCCCATAGGAGGCTGTTCCCTGCTCTCTGCTAGCTCCTGGTGCCCTACCCGTGCTGGTGAATCGGCGAAGAGGCCGCCGTGGCGCCTGCAGCCTCTGTGGGCTTCCTCGGGAGCTGCTGGCCGCTCCGCGGAAGCTCACTCTGCAGGCGGGGCCTCGGTTGGCACAAGATGCCCCCCGAGAGGCCCCCAAGACGCCCCAACATGCCCTCAAACAGCCCCCAAGAGGTTTCAGAACTGCCTCCACGAGGCCCCCGAGAGGCCCCGTCGTCTTGGGGCGTCTCGGGGTGTTCTGAAGCCAGTTTGGGCTGCCCTCTCGGCAGCTTTGGGCTTGTCGTCGAGGCCCGGCGGGGACGTCCAGGAGGCCCAGAAACCCGAGGAGATGCTCTGCTTGAGCGTCCAGGAGAAGTCGTGTGTGAGTGGTGCGTGTGTGTGGTGTGTAGTATGTGGATGCGGGTGTGAGCGTGTACTATGTGTGAGTTGTACTGCCTGCGTGTGCTGTGAATCGTGTTATGTGCGGTTTGTGTGTTCTGCGTGATATGTGTAGCCGTATGTGTGTGTATGTGTTGTGTTATGTGTGTGCGTTGTGTGTATGTATGTATGTATGAGTGTGTTCGTGCCTGCGTGTGTGTGTGTGTGTATTGCGTGTGTCGGGTGTGTGGTGTGAGATGCGTGTGCGTGTGGGTGTGGTCTGTGCGTGTGTGTTCTCTGCCTGCTCTGTGTGTGTTATCCACTGGCTCAGTACCATTGAAAACAATTGTGTTTGAACCTTGTCCGTTCACAGGTTGTACACCCCTCGTGTTTTTGGACCGCGGGGTGTATCCGATGTTCAGAATGTGGTGGATGTCCCGAGCGCAACGGCCCCAAGCATCTCGGACGGGACGGGGCCGTAATTCATCGCCTCTGAGCCCTACTCCCTCGGAGAGGTGCGCATGAGAAGATTTATGGTTCTATGTTTCTTTATTTGTTTGTCTCTCTCTCTCTCTCTTTCCTTGGTGTTTATATGCGCATGTATGCATGTATGGATGCATATCTATAGAGAGATATATACCAGGACCACGCGCGCGCTTCGCGCGCGCTCAGGTTCTAGTTGGGCGCAAGCACAGAGATCGTGGTGAAACCACGGGGGGAGTAGATGCAAGAAAATCGAGGGCGTACTTAATATTCACTGACGACGGAAGCCCTGAGAAATCAGGACGCACGGAGACAAACCGAAGGGAAACCTTTCCGGACAAGAGCGGGAAGCGCCGTTTTCCTGAGCTTGCGTGCGCACGCGCGCATGGATTTGCAACCAACGCGCATGCGTGCACATGGATGCAGTCGCTGGGCTCCCCTAAATGCCCAGAGGGTCGCCGTTGGTAGCTCGTGTTTGGTGGTTGCCTGCGGTTGCTTTGGTCAGGTGTTGCGCGTGGCCCATGCTTATGTGTGCGTATGTGCATGTGCATGTGCATGTGCATGTGTGTGCGTGTGTGTGTGCGTGTGTGTGTGTGTGTGTGTGTGTGTGTGTGTGTGTGTGTGTGTGCGCCTGTGTGTGCGGCTGTGTGCGTGTGTGCGCGTGTGCGCGGGCGTGTACAGGGTGTCTGTTCAAGGGCGGCGGGGGGAGGGGATGCACGGTGTGCGCACGGAGCGTGTGCCTGGCGGGCGGGCGGGTGAGGGTGTGTACGGTGTGCGTGCGGGGTTGTGTGCCTGGCGGGGGGGCGGGAGGGGCGCAGGGTGTGCGTGCGCGTTGTGTTTAGTGTGAGTGGTGTATTGTTTACGTGGTGCATTCTCTACATGGCCCATGTCGAGCATGCACCACGTAAACATGGGTTTGCAACCAACGCGCATGCGTGCACATGGATGCAGTCGCTGGGCTCCCCTAAATGCCCAGATGGTCGCTCTTCCTCCTCCTCCTTCTCCTCCTCCTCCTCCTCCTCCTCCTCTTCCTCATCCTCCTCGTCCTCGTACTTTCAAGGATGTCTCGAGCGAGAGCCCCATGCTGAACATAAGACGTTTTGAAGCAGCTCGTCTACCGTACCATTTGATGATCGAAGATGCCTCGAGGGAGAGCCTGATTTTTAAGATTTCGACGCATTCGCAAGATCCCTGGTGATCTCATGCTTCTCAGGATGTCTCGAGCGGGAGCCTCATGTTTAACATAAAGCGTTTTAAACCACGTCCTTGAAGATCTCACTTGTTCGAGAATGTCTCGAACGACACGGTCGTTTTGGGGGGAACCTTTCCGGACAAGAATGGGACGCGCCGCTTCTCTGAGCTTGCGTGCACACGCGCGCATGGAGTTACACCCAACACGCATGTGTGCGCATGGGGTGCAATCGCTGGGATCCCCTGCATGCCCTGATGGTTGCAAGTGGTAGCTTATGTATGTTCAGTGGTTGCCTGCGCTCGCTTTAGTCCGGTGCTGCGCGGGCCCGTACGAAGGAGCCTCCGCTTCCAGCGGATCTGCTCTGCCCGCCGGAGAGCACCTTCTACCCCGCCAATGCTGCCCCCTGTCCCGACCAGCCTCGCCCAATCGGGAGCGGCCAAGAGGGGGGTGTCCAAGAGGGGGGGGTGCAAATCATGACCGGCGGCATGTGCGCGGCCCAGCGGGGGGGCCAGGGACGTAATGAAATAAGAAGAGGCGCCATAAAATCTGGGGAAATATCATGCTCCCCGCCATGATATCCACCCCCCCTAGTCATCACCCCCCTCTTTTCCGCCCCCGACCCAAACAGTCCGGCTCGGGCCCACAGCCCCCCACCACCTGCCCAACAAGAGGCAGGTGCCGCCGCGCGCGGGAGCGCCGCGAGCGGCCGGGGCCTCCCACGCGCGAGCTCCGGGGACCTGCCAGAGAACGTGCCCCTGAGGCGGCCTCGCGACGGGCGCTTCTCCAGCCACCCGCCCAGCCCCTCCCACACCGCCGCGCAGCAGGGACCCTGACTGGAGCCCCGTCCCACGACCCGCGCGCACCTGCAAGCCCAGCGCAGCAAGGTGGGGGAGCAGCTCCGCCCAGCCCGCGCGGCCCCCCTCTGCGCGGTAGTGTCGAGCGGCGGAACACGAGCCCAGAGCGGGGGCAGGCACTCGAGGCAGAACAGTCCGATGGCGGCATGCTGGGAGACACCCCCGACGAGCCCGCCCGCAAGACTTTTCGCACCACCAAGCCCACCCTGACCAACCCCCACGCGCCAGGGCACGGAAAAGCTGGCAACCCCCGTAGAGGCGACCGCCCCTCGCACCAGCATGATCGCTCCCACTGGACGGCAGTCCCGGCGGGCAGCTATACCCCCCACGGGGACCCCACCGACAGGCTGTACAACAGGCCACGCCATGCCATCAACTGGCACCCTGTCTGGAATTACAGCGACAACCGGAGGGAGTTCTGGCACGAGGTCGTCAGCCGCCTGAAGCGGGAATGCGGCCCGATGCTAGTCATTGGCTGGAGCGCCGTCTGTGACCACCGAGCATTTCGCCCTGGATCCACCCGGGACCCGAAGGTCCTGGACGAGGACTTCTGCGAGGAATTCGTTGGCCAGCTTGTCTAAGTCAACTTTGATGTCCGCAACCTCTGCTGGATCAAAGGCATCCATATACACTGGCAAAGCGCCTGGGATTAAGATATGGAAAAAAGAAACCACTCTACCAAGCGTGAAAAAGGCAAAGGAAAAGGCCCTACCCACACGGCAAAAAGGCAAGAGTCCTGCAGACTCCACCTGGCCCAGCAACGACTATTCTAGGCAGCGGTGCCCAGGGTCTTCTAGTCGCTACTGAGCAAGCAGCTGCAGAAAGCATGGTCTTACGCCTCCACCAGGTGGAACAGGCAATGTAATGTTCATTCCGCCTGCGTTGTGAGCAAGGTCTTGTATTGTTTGGATCCTGCGTGGTTTCTCAAAGCCGAGAGGGCGCGTCTAGACGCCTTTGATTCCACATGCGCCCAGAAGATATAAGGCATCCCGCCATCGTTTATGTCCAAGGTCTCCAAGGCCACCGCGCTGGACAAGGCCGGAGCGAAACCGCTCTCAGACATACTGTCTGACAAGCAATGAGTTGTTTGGGGAACTCATGTTAACATACATCTTTCTGGTTTAGTGGAGTGTAGTCGCTTTCCGTGGTTTTTCCTGTGCTTTAGTTGCTCGGATCGGCTCTCAGCGCTCTCACGCAAGGACGCTGAAAACCGATCACGTCGACACACGCGGCGGCCGCGTCACCACGCCAGGGCGCTCGAAACCGAGCCCGTTCGCACACGCGGCGGCTGCGCCACCGCGCAAGGACGCTGAAAACCGAGCCTGTTGACACACGCGCCGGTTGCGCCACCACGCGAGGATGCTGAAAACCGAGCCCGTGGACACCCGCGCCACCACGCAACGACGCTGAAAATCGAGCCCGTTGGCACACGCGGCGGTCGCGCCACCGCGCCAGGACGTTGAAAACCGAGCCTGTTGACACGCGGCGGCCGAGTCACCGCGCAAGGACGCTCGAAACCGAGCCCCTTGACACACGCGGCGGCCGCGCCACCACGCAAAGACGCTCGACACCGAGCCCGTTGACACACGCGGCGGTGCGCCACCACGCAAGGACGCTCGAAACCGAGCCCGTTGACACACACGCTTGGAAAGTAGTGAGACACTTGCGAACCAAGATGAGCTCGATAACATGCCATGCCAGCTCAAGCCTGGGGCGGGGATGCGGGCGGCCCACGCCAGGGGGGGACGCTGGCGGGCTCTCGCGCGGCGAGACGCAGCGGGAGGACCACGGGGCGCCCTCACATCACAGCCTTGGTGGAGTCGATGCGGCGGGCCCTGTACCCGATCCAGGCGGAGCGGAACCGCATGCCGCTCACGAAGACGCCCAGCATGCAGGCGGACACCGCTTTGAGACCCATGAGCTTGCGGCCGTCGTGGCCCGGCCCGGAGGCCCAGCACGTGAAGTTCACCACGTCATTGCACGTCTGGGACTTGGTCGCGGGCGTGCCGTCCTCATAATCCACCAGGCCATCGGCCTGGATCGGGGGAGGCATGCAGTATGACGATCAGGCCTCCAGGGAAGCAGATGCTGCAGTACAGCCAGTCACGGCAAGGAATTCCCGCACGCGAGTTGTGCTAGGCGGTGGTGTAGACAGACAGGTCGGGAGGCAGGGCGCCGCCGTCGGCGTACTGGGCCGCCTCCTCGCTGGGGTAGGGCGAGGGGAACGTGTCGAATGGGATGCCAGGCCTCGTGAACATCTCGCCCTCGTCGTTGGGGCCGTCCACCACGTCGAAGGAGGCTGCGATCTCCTTCATGCGCCTCTCTGGTAGCACCTGGTTCACGAGGTGCCTGAAGTGCAGTTACTTCATGCTGTAGCAAGTTGCGCACACCTGGCGGTAGACCTAGTAGCCCCAGCACACACTGAGGATCTCGTTGGCGTGGAAACTGGACTGGATAGGGGGGAGGCTGCGGCGGCTCCTGTCCTTGCACCTGGCTGTCGGCGGCCCCGCGAGCGTGGCGGTTGCCGCTGCGGCCGCGGCGCCGCCGCACAGGGCGGAGGAGCCCATCGGGCGCGACATCCGGGCCACGGCCGCCATGAACACCATCTCTGCCCTGTTCCACGGGGGGGCGCCTCGCGGGGGAAGCCGACTGGCCGAGCAGACGCGAGGGGCGAAGGGGGGGCACCGCGGAGCGCCGCCGGGGGCCAGGCTTGAGCCAGAGCTGCTACGGAGAGCGAGGGAGACAAAAGGAAGAGGAGGAGGAGGAGGTGGAGGAGGAGACGAACGGGGGGGCAGGGATGGAAAAACATGGGAAGACCGAGGGCCGAGGGGAGTGCCAGGTGGAGGGGGGCACACTAATAAAGTAGGCATCGTCTATCAGGTCGCAGCTGGGGAGGAAGAAAGAAGACGTGTCCTCACTGATTTCGAGGATGGGTTTTCACAGCGGCTCCCCAACACCCGTGCATGAGATCGTCAGCGAACTGGCCGAAATAGACAGTCCCGTCCTTCTTCCTAAAGACGCCATTGCCATGGGCTTGGCATTCAGTCCACTCCTGGGAGAACGCGGGCAGCATGAGAAGGGAGGAGGACGAATAAGATGACAGTGGTGATGCTGACGCTGCTGATGATGATGCAACTGATGATGATGATGATGATGCTGATGATGATGATGAAGATGATGATGATGATGATGATGATGATGATGATGATGATGATGATGATGATGACGATGATGATGATGATGATGCTGACAATTGTGATACTGATGCTGTTGCTGCTGCTGATGTTGTTGATGATGATGCTGCTGCTGATGATGATGCCGACGGTATGATGCTGATGCTGATGCTGCTGCTGATGATGGTGATGATGATGGTGATGGTGATGCTGATGATGATGATGATGCTGATGATGATGATGATGATGATGATGATGATGATGATGGCCACGATACGGATGATGAGGATGATGATGATGATGCTGATGGAGGAGGAGGAGGAGGAGGAAGAAGAGGAGGAAAACGAGGAGGAGACGGAATAGGAGGATATGACACCAGCCGCGAAGCGAGTCTACTCAAAATTCGGAACCCCGAGCCGCCTTCTCAATCTTGTTGCAAACTTTGGACCAGAGTCACGGGATACTCGGTCCAAACAATCCCGCCGAATCTTGGTGATCGGGACGGGGGGAGGACCTTACGGGCAAGACACAAACCCGCCAGGACACGGAATTGCTGCTGGCCAGAACACCTACAGGCTTTAAAGAACCACCGGTCGAACGTTACATTAAACAACATAATATGGGAAGCGTGCCCCCCCCCAGCGAGACGTAAACTTTGACCCAGAGGCAGGTTAGAAAGCACGCTAGTTAAACTGAGGAGGTCGAAACAGTCTGTGGCTATCCACCTAGCGCTGCCCGCTTTTATGGCATACCTCCTACACTTAAACTAGCTTTGTCCACACTCACGCAAAAACATGCTTGGGCTTTCACAGGGCCGCGGCATCATCAGGCGGGGGGGGGGCAACAGCAGCAGCAGGGGGCCGACGTTTGTCCCCTCAACGTTGATCGCCTCCAAAAAAGTTCTGGGAAACCTTTCCCTGATGAGCCGCATGGCGTGTTCAACCTGAAGCACACGCGCACGCTAAGAGTTGGAGACAGCACGATACTTTCGGGAATGGACAAACCCCCCTTTAGTAAAACGTGGTTTAATGCAAACGACCTGAGGCCCAAACCTGGCGGGCGCGAGCCTGGAAAATAACGGCCACGGCGCCCTCTCGAGAACCGAAAGCGGACAATTCACTAATCGACGTGTCACTGTTGGGGGTTCTGTCCACCCCCGATACTTGGCAGCGATCCCTGTCTAGTGGTCCACGCCAGCATTTCCAGCCACCGGGGCCCCGTACAGATTGCGAGCGACAACCGCTTCAGCTTCTACTTCAAAGGGGATCTGGGGCACAGCAACATCACCAGAATGGCGATCCGTCGCCAGAAGGATCCCTCCAAATGTCCTCCCCGAGTTTGTGTTCAGCCCCTGGGAGGGCTCGAACTGCCTAGAGCCAAAACCCCGGCAAACCTCCTCACTGCCAGTCGCGTAGGCCATGGGGCCTCCGGGAAAAGAAGCAGCACCGAGCAACCAATAGAAGGTTCCCCTAGGGACGCACTGGCGCCGACGAAGCAATGGACCATGCAGGAATTGACAATCGAGCTCGCGGGACAGGGCACGAGCTACTGGACACAGCATCGCCGACCCTACAGGGCCTGGGGTCGCGGGCGTCGGCCCCCCCCCAAGCCCCCCACACGAGGAGGGGGAGGGGGGAAGAGCCGGCATCGAAATGGGGGGGGCTGAGGATCGTCGTCGCCTAGGCGACTCCGAAGCCACACTTCATCTTCCCAAGGGGGATCTGCAACAACCATGAAGCTCGAAATGGGGCCGTTCTGTCAGAAGCGTTCGCTGGCCCACGCCTGGGCCAAGACCCTGGGCACGAAGTTGTCGGCGGCTTCGAACATGCGCGAGCCCCTGCTACATTCGCACCCCCACGCTAGTGCAAGGGGTTCCCAGAGGCCTTCCCACAACTACGGCATAACTCAGGGACTTCGATGCCAAATTGCTTTTCTTCTCATCAGTCCAGGGCCCTCCGACAGCAATCGCCATTATCAGTTCACTGAGCTGCCGACTGCGCTCAAGAATTTTCTCCAGCTGGAAAAGATAACGCCGAAGGCTGAAAAGCAGCAACTCCTATGTCCATTCCACCTCCACGGTACGAGTGGCAAGCAGATTCCATCCAGAGGCGCTGAAGTTAGCGGGCCTGGTCGAAAGCCGAACAAAAAGAACATCCACCATCGACAGCATCAGCGGGGTCACAGAGGACGCCGCGCAGAGAGCTGCGGCATTGCTCACCCCGCACCGACAAAATAGTTGATGACGGCCGCGAGTGGTCCACGCACATACCGCGCTCTGCGCTGAGGAGAGAGGCCCATGAACTGCTGCGCTGCCGCCGCCCATAAACCGTGGAAGCAGGCTCGCGTACTCTGGAAAATTCTGGCCAGCGCCGCGCCGCATCCACTGATCTAGACACTGCCGTGGGAGGGCGTAGCCTGGGTCAGCCCCTGGCGCCCTCAAGTCCAGCGAGGTGGTCAAGCAGCGCCCTCTCCGATGACCAGGAACTGCACCCAGCCGACGACGCATCTCCAGCAATGCGGTGGCTGACAGTCCCAATGCTTGATGCCCGTGACATCGCGCCCCCGCCTGGGGGGCCGCCAACTGGCTCTATTTGAACGCTTTGCATCTCCTCGATGCATCAACGTACCTTCGCAACTTCAGATGTTGCTTCTTGGTGCTGACCCTCCGCTCGGTGCTGACCAGCCGCACTGCTGCCATAGCTTCAATCGAAACCGGAGCGGCTGGCTGCCCCGCGACCGCGACTGCGCGATCGGCTGCCCTGCCAGCGGCCACGCCCAGCAGAGAACGCGGATGAGGCCGACGGCGCGAGACGGACCCTCAGCTCTTTTGGAAACATCTCGCCGCACACCGCCATCAATTGCCACGGCCACGTTCAGCACTCCTCGCGCACGTTGAACTGTCAATGCAATTCGGCCAAGGCCTCGTCGGGAAGCCTCTCCAGCCGAGCGGGAACGCGGCCCGGTCCTTCCTGGAACGCAGCGCTCGGCATCGACCTCCCAAGGGCCAAGGGGTTCCTCGCGAGCGCGAGCGTGGATGGAATCAGGTCCAGGCCATGACTTCGCTCCTGCTCCTGACCGCCTCTGAGGTCCTGAGCTCGCGCCAGTGCGCTGCCTGGTGGTCGACGGGTCGATGGGGTGATGCATCGCTTCGCCGCTAAGGTCGATCTGATCAAATGAATGCGGAGCCTCCTTGGGCACTCTGAAAACCAAGTCCGCACTCTCGCGATCCAAGATCCAGGCCTAGAAATCGGCCAGGGAAGAAGTGATCGCTCGGTTCCGGGCCCTGCCGCAGATAAAGCCAGCCTCGATGCCGAACGTGTCCACCTGAGCAGGGGGCGCCGATGCCACGTCGCGAAGAATCCGTCGCCGCGCCGACCAAGGCGTCGCCGACAGGCCAGCACCGACGCGCTTCTGAAACCCGCCAGAGCCTGCGACCCCAACTTATAGCACGGGCAACGGCGAGGCCACGAAGCTGGGACGCTCCGTTCCCGACGCCCACGTGTACTCATCTCGCCCAAACTAGCGTGCAACCTCTCCCACCAGCTCGCAATCGCATCCTTGATCGGCCTGTCTCGGCGGCGCTGGGGGCGGCGCGCCTTCTCCATTCGCAGGGTCGGGCCGTCCTCGCGGGGCGGCTCGTCCCCGAGGTCAGCAGGGCCCGCGCCGCGGTGCGCTCGACGCACGGCCTCGCCCGCCGAAGTCCACGCCGAGTACAGTCGAGGCGCTGACCTAATGAACCCTAAACAAGGAACGAGGCCCCTTTTCCCCATGAGCTCAACCTCGATGTCCTATGTAGGACCTCAGGAAAACCCGAGGCAAACTTTGGAACAATCAAGGAACACCGAGCCCCTCCCCAACGAAAAGGGTTCCTTCTTCAGCGCCCCGACTGTAAGCTCCGCTGACAGTCAGCGCATAAAGAGTTGCCGACGTCATATGGAACCGAGTCTCAGATACGGCTGCCAGACTCGCCCAGGAGCGTGACTGTGTGAACCCTCCTGGGCTCGAGGCAAACGCCAGCGGTCGGGCGTGGGCGCGAAGGCAGGGGCAGCGGCGGGGGCGGGAGCGTCCTTCTTGTTCGGGGCGTCTCCACGGGGCCAGATCGGGGCCGCGCTCGTACCTGCGAGAGCTGCACCGCGCGACTCACAGGAGCGCGCCATCCTCACCACTCGAGGGAGCTTCCGTACCATCGTGTCTGCCAGGCAGAGGAGGGGGAAAGGAGGACGAGAGGGGCGGAGCGGGGGGGGCCCTTCAACGTTGGGCGCACTGGCCCATGGGCACACCTCGTCATCCCAGAAGCCTTCGTGGCACCCTTCCCAGAGCTCGGGTCGCCTGGGGGCGACGCACCATGGTGGGGGGCCCTGGGGCGGCCAGCGCGAACACTCGTACTAGGACCCTCCAAGAGATCCCCAAACAACTTAGCAGCACGTTCGATTGCTCTTCACGAGCGAGACCTTGGCGCACAGCTTGCGCGCGTCGGGCCTTGGAAGACTTGGGGCCAGGCGCCTCCACATGCTGGTGACAAGCCGCCTGAGCGAGACGCTGGGGCAGGATGAGCGACCGAGTGATCAGCCGCCCGCCTGCCCCCCTCAATCACAAAACTAAACCACAAATGTGGCTTCCACGTAATGTCCTGGCTATTCTGGAGCCCCGCGACGGAAGGAGCGGCCGCCCTGCAAGCTGACGCAGAGTTGACGTGAAACAACCGCTGGCACTAACGCGCGCGAGTTCAACGGGGGCCTGCAGCACTGACGCCCCGACCTTGGACAGAAAGCCGACGCGTCGGAGAACGGGGGAAGCCGCGCCGCCCGCCGCCGCCGCGCCGCGCCCGCCGCCCTTGGCCGCAGCCACCTGGGCAGCTTAGGCGGCCGTCGCCGCCGCCGCTTGCGCCGAGGCCTCCTTGGCCGCCCGAGAGCGACGGACCGCGGCGTCCGCCGCCGTCGCCGCAGGCGTGGCTGCCCCTCCCTCGGCTGGCGCCGCCGCCGCCGAAGCCGCGCCTCCGCCAGACTCGCCGACGGCATGGGCCTGGCCGTCGGCCCCCTCGCGATTCCTGCCGGGGCGGTCCTGCAGCGCCGCCGTCAAAGCCTCCATGCGAGCTCTCGCACCTTGTCGCCTTGCCGCCGAAGTCGGACTTCGCCGCGACCAGGCCCCGCTCTGGCTAAAGGAGCTCCTTCTCCCCCTTTTCTTCACATTCCGGCATGCCGTCGTGGAGCGCGTGGACAAACTCCTCGTCCAAGAACACGTCGAAATAGTGCTCGACAACAGACTGCTTGTCGGGAGGAAGAACTCTGTGATGCGTAAACCCAGCTTCCACTGCCACGGCCCTGACCGCGAAACTGTTTGCAATCTGGGTCTGCGCCAAGATTCGAACCGCGTATTCATCCCGATTCTGCGCATGCATGAACTGCTCGCTCGCACGCCCCACCACCTTCACATCGGCATCGTGCTTCACGCAAGCATCCCGCCAAGGTGCCTCCGCCTTCCGGTGAGCCTCTCCCGCGGAGATGGTCACGGGCGGCGGAACTCGCGGTTGCTGCGCCAGCGCTGCCTCCAGGGCCAGCTCCACCGCAGGGTCGACAGCCACCTTCATCGCGTGGGCGAGGATCTGCTTGGAGTCCGGGGGCGCTGGTGTCCATCGCAGACAGGGCGAGCTGTGTGCCGTCCTGGCCCTGGCCCTTCTGCTTGGTATACGCCTCTTTCCTGTGAAATTCCGGTCGCACCCCACATTTACACATGCAATTCCTCTGCATCAGAATGGAATTCCACTCGCATGCGTTGCAGTACTGAAAAAGAGTATAGGCACCCATGCCTGCACCCTGTCCCATCGCACGGCGCTCCCGTGGTGGGTGGTCCCCAGGCAGGGGATGCCTCCGGTCTTCTGCAAGCGTCCGCGAACGGCGGCGCACACACGCCTGGCACGCCGATGCCTCGCGGGCGAGCGCGATCGCGGCGAGCCCGTCCTGGAGCGCCCTGCTGTAGAGGGCTGGGGGCGCAGGTGAACAGGTGGGCAATATGCCAACCGCGTTGCTAAACCACCGTGGCAGAGGAGGAGGAGGAGGAGGAGGAGGAGGAGGAGGAGGGAAAGGAGGAGGAGGGAAAGGAGGGAGAGGAGGACGAGGAGAAGGAAAGATGAAAGGGGAGGAGTAGGCGGAGTGGATATGGGAGGAGGGTAAGTCGGATGAATTTGAAGAGAGATGATGAGGAGAGGGTAAAGGAAGAGGAGGGGCGAGGTGGTGGATAATGGGGAGAGAGTACCAGGACATTGTAGGAGGAGGAAGTAGGAGGGAGGAGGATGGAACGTGAGTAAAGGACAGGAGAGATGAGGCGACCAAGTACATCCCCAAGATTCTCTTCACCCCCTTTCGACCTGATCCACTTCCACACCCTCCACTTTCCCCCTTATCGTCTTCGAATCCACGCCGCAGTGCCCTTTTTCTCACCATCCTCTCAATCAATTTGAAGAGCTCCAGCTGCCTCGTGTTTTCTCTGCAGATATCCCCCACTATTCGTCTACTCGCAACGATGGGCGTTCCAAGACTAGCGTGCTCTACTTGGTGGTGTTCCCAAAAGGCCCCAAAGTATCAAAACCGAGACCTTCGATCCTCGACATCCCCTTCCCTTCCCTCCTCTCATCCTCACTCCTTCTCCAACGTCCATCGTCCTTCTTTCCCTCCTCCTCCTCCTCCTCCTCCTCCTTCCTCCTCCTCCTCCTCCTCTCTCCTCCTCCTCCTCCTCCTCCTCCTCCTCCTCCTCCTCCTCCTCCACCCAGAACCCTCCTTCGTTCCCTTCCCCTCCTCCCAACTCCTCCAGCTCCTCTTGCACCCTCCTCCCTCTTCCCTCGCGGGCTCCCCGCAGTAGGCGTCGCCCTGCACGTGCCGGAAGCGCCCCTTGCCCGTGGCCTCGTGCGGAGCCGAACATGCTCTCTGGCCGCCTCCAGCCTCCCCGCCCCCACTCGTCCTATGGACTGGCGGGGGGAAAGCATCCTCCTCACCCTCTTCAACCTCCTCCTCCTTCTCCTTCTCCCCCGTCTTTCCATGTCTCCCCTCATCCTCGCCCTCCTTGACTTTTCGTTTCCCCTCTCGCTCTTTGTGCTGCTCCTCCTTCTCGCACTGTCTCGTCCGAGCTCCTCCTCAATCTCCCTTCCTTAGCCGCCACCGTGCCGCGAGGCATTGAATGGGGAGTCCCCAAGCTCCTTCGAGTTTTCTTTGTGGAGCATGGTGAATACCAAGTATTCTGTAAGGGGCCTGCAGACTGCAGACCCGAGTTCCAGGCGCTCCCAGGATGTCCCCAGTGTCTCTTGGGGATTCTCGCAAAACGTCTCCCGAGGCCAGGGGGCCCCAAGACGTTGCGACGATGGCCCCGAAAGGCCCTCAAGACGTTGCAAGGAGGGCCCCGAGAACGGCCCAAGAGCGCTCCGAGACGCCCAAGATGGCCTCAAGACGGCCCACGAGCCCCCAAGATGTCCCAGGCCCCAGGACGGCCGACGAGGCCTCCAAGACGGCCAAAGAGGGTCACAAAAGGGCGCCAGGAAGGGAAACCCGAACTGACATTTCGAGCCCTCCGCCCTGAGAAGGCCCCAAGATACCCCCAGAGGACCTCGAGGTGGTCCCAAGAGGCTCCAAGATGCCTCCAGGAGGCCCCCGAAGAGGCTCCTCCGAGGGACGTGCAGATGGACAGATGGAAGGGCAGGGAGAGGGGGCAGATGGACAGATGGAAGGGCAGGGAGAGGGGGAAGGGAGAGGGCGGGTGTGTGGTTTTAAAAGGCTCTAGCGGGCGCAGGATGGTTCCAGGAGCTTCCTTATTTTTCCATGTGCCATCCCTTGAAATTGCGAGTATGACGGATGAGTGAGAACCACCTAAAGGCACAGTGTGCGCCGCTCAGATTATCCAGGAGGCGAGACAGAGGGTAGAAAAAGAGAGACATGGGGAGGGGGAGGGGGATATGGAGGAGGAAGGGGATAGAAGGATGAGCAGGAGGCGCGAACAGGATAGCCGAAGAGCTCTGGCAACTCACACCCGCGGGGGCTCACGCAGCACCACGGCCAGGACTAGCGTGATGAGCGTGATGAAGATGATGCCCACGTAGAACAGGGCCTCCTCCCCGCCAGCTAGGGCGACGCTGCTCCCGCCGATGGCGTCCTGGCCCTCCGCGGCGAGCGCCGGCAGCTGGAACAGGCCCAGGCTTGCCACCGCACCCCCGGCAGCAGCCGCCGACCGCTGCGCAGGCTGCGGCACGAAGGTGTGGCTGCCCGCCCACAGCAGCGCCGTGCACAGCATGACAGCGACGAGGGGGCTGCTGCTGCGCGCCATGGCGAACGACTGAGGCGCGAGGGGCGGAAGCAGATCGGGACAAGCGCAGTGATCGCTGAGGCTTGCCTTGAGCCAAACTGGCTACGGAGGATGCTTCTAGGGGCTCTGGGAAGATATAGGGGGAGCTCGGGAAAAGGGAAAGGGCTGGAGGATGGACAGAAGAAAGGTTAAGGGAGGGAGCAGGCAAGAACGATCCCCTCGGCGGAGGGGGAGGGACCAATGCTTACTCCCGAGGCTCTCAGGGAGATAGCAAAGGGAATGAGTGCATGCAGGATGGAGGGGCATGGGTGGAGGACGGGAGGGAACGAGAGGTCGAAAGAGGACAGGTACGGTGGCCGAGAGGAAGGGACACGGCGGGGAACGAGGAGGGAGGGAACACTGACAGGAGGAAGGGGAAAGGAAGGGATGGGAAGTGGAGGTAGGGAAGGGGGCCATACGATAGGGGGAGAGGAGGGAGCCACTACATGGAGGAGGGGAGGAGGGGAGCGAGAGAGGGCACAAGGGGCGACGGAAGAGGCTGGAGAAATCACGTAGGAGGAGGAGGAGGAGGAGGAGGAGGAGGAGGAGGAGGAGGAAGAGGAGTCAGCGAGGGCTCCAGTAGCAGGAGCTGAACCGTCTGAAGCCACGAGCCAGGAGGAAGAGTCAGGTCCAAAAGGTAGATCGACTACGCGAGGGAATGGCCCTAGGCTACAGTGACCTTTGGTGCGCGGCTTCAGGGGCGCCCGTGGGGGCCCAACGCAACCGCGCGAGCCAGTGCTGCCGCGCAGCATCAACGATCGGCGGGGCGCGATTGGAAATTTCTATTCTGCGCCACCTGGCACCCGCGGAATTCCGCCAATTGGAGTCGAACGCCCCGAATGGCACTGCGAAGGCGCTGCGAAAGCAGACGCTACCGGGGGCCACCGCGATGAGGTCTGGCAGTGCTGGGCCGTGTCGCGATGACTTCTGACCAGGTCTGGCGTCAAGGACATAAGCGGCCCCGTCCGCGGACCTGGAATATGTCTGAATATCGTTGGGTTACTTGCAATAGTAAAGACCCCAATTGGTTCAAAATCGACATTCAAAGCTAGTCAAATATATCTAACGATATTCAAACCAGACGATTTGGGAGTTGGGCTGAGGTTAGGGACGGTCCTGGGGCGGAAAACGCGCCGTCTGGTCGACTGGCCCCTCTCGGGAAACCAATGCACGCTGCAGGGTGCGCCGCGCATGCGTTCCTGTCGATTGAAAGGGGGAGGGGCCCCAACCTGGCGCGCTCAGATGCGAACGCAATCGCGCGATGCGGGTTCCGACGCGAGGTCAAGTTCATTCCAAAAGAAAAATCACCCGACCGCCGTGGGGCCAGAACCAAAGGTCACTCTGGCGAAGGGTCGCTCTTACGTGCAGTCGAGTAGAACCAAACGCCCAGCGTGGCCTGGGCCAACAAGCCCCGGCACAACTGCCATCACAACGGGCACACATGCACATGTGGGTAACAGGCACAAGCTGGACCGATCTCTGGCCTCCTTCTCCTGGCTAGCCCCGTGCCTGAGGGGATAAACCAAACATGGTAATGAAGCACCAGCCCCCGACAGGGAGGCAAGGCCCAAGCCTATACCCTGGCGCTCCCCCATACCAGCCCCGCACACGCAAGGCATGGGGGACGGGGATGCGTCGGGGTGCGGCACAGGGCTTCGCCACTCTGCAGCCCATCCCCAGCAGCAACATGGAGCGTTGTCCAACGCCTGGGCCCACACAAACATGGCGAGCGGTGTGCCCGAAAGGGCGATGTGGGGAGCGAAGATGTTTTTGCCACTGACCTTGTTGCTCCGCCACTCGCCCTCGTACCGGCTGCCATCCGGCCACCGCATGGAGCCCCACCCGTCGCGCTCGTTGCCATGCGGCCGGAGGGCAGACGCTTAATAGCACCAGTGGTCCTCCTCCACCTCATCCTCCTTCGACGCTTCCTTCTCCGCCTCGTCCTGCTCATCCTCGCCCTTCTCCTCCTCTGTTTCCTCTGCCACTCCTTGCCCGTCCTCGCCGTTATCCTCCTAGTCTTCACCCTCCTCCTCCTCCTCCTCCTCCTCCTCCTCCTCCTCCTCCTCTTACTCGTCTCCCGTATGCCCACAGCCCCCTTTCCTTTTCATCCTCGTCCTGGAAGAAGTGTTCCTCTTCCTCCTCCTTTTTCCCTCCCTCTTCCCTCTTCCCCTCTCTTTGCCTTCCTATGCCCTCTTCCCATTCCTCTTGCCTCTCCTCTTTCCCTCTTCCTCCCCTCCCTCTCCCCTCCTCCTGTCTTTCTGCTGCGTTTCACCTCCTGGTTAACTCCACCCTCCTTCATCGGCCCTCCCTTTCGCCCCTTCTCCCTCGTCGTGGTCGTCGTTGTGCTCCCTTGGATCCTGCCTTCTACGTATTCCTCTATTTCGCACCTCCTTTCCCCTCCGTCGACCCTCCCTCTGCCTCTATCTTCTCCCTCATCCTTGTTTCCCCATTCCCTCCCCCCTCCTCATCCGACTCCTCGTCTCCGTTCCCTTCCCTTCCCCTCCTTCGCCTCAGACTCACCGCCTCCTCACCCTCCTCCTCTTCGCGTCCTCCTTCTCCTCGCCTCCTCCTCCTCCTCCTCCTCCTCCTCCTCCTCCTCCTCCTCTGGCCCTCCTGCTCCTCCTCGTGCGCTTCCCCCCCTCCTGCTGCTGCTTCCTGCGCCGACTCCTCCCTCGGCGTGGCGCTGGGAAGCCCTGCCCTCCGGCGATGCCACTGCCCGTCGTAGACCGCGCCGGAGGCGAACTCGTGGCGCTTCGGCGTCCGGAGCAGCGGACCGCCGCCCCACAGCCTGCCAATCGAGGACGAGAGAGAGATCTCCTCCTCCTCACTCCTCCTCCTCACTCCTTCTCCTCCTGCCCCTCGTCCCTCTCCTCCTCCTCCTCCTGCTCCTCCTCCTCCTTCCTCTTCTCCTGCTCTCTCCTGGTTTCCTTACAAACTTTGCGCACCATTTTGGAAGGCCGCCCTAGAGGGAATCCTTTTGTTCGGCCGCCACAAGAGGAATCCTTTTGCAAGGTCACCACAAAAGGAATCCTTTTGCAAGGCCAGCGCAAAAGAAATCCGTTTGTAAGGCCTTCCCAGAATAATCCTCTTGTAAGGCCGCCACAACAGGAATCCCGACGGACCCCACAAAAGAAATCCGTCTCTCTGGCTGGCCGCCACAAAACAACTCCTTTTGTCGGCCCGCTACAACAAAAAATCCTTTCGTAAGGCCGCTACAACAATAATCATCTTAAAAGCTGCCGTTGCCGAAATATTCCGCGTGTAAGTCCGCCGCAAGCGCAACCAACTCACGCTCTGCCGCGAAGTAATATACGCACAACGACGCCGAGGAAGCAACACATAGCGAAGAACTACGCGACATAAAACTAAAGCAACAACGTGACGTAACATAGTGGCGGTTGTCATGATGCAAAGGATGTGCTCTACGGGACCCCCCTCCTCGAAAACGCCCCCCCGCCCACTCGCGCAGAGGGGGGGGGTAGGGGGGTCCCGCTCCCTGGCGCTGGTCGCATATCCCACCCCCTGGCGCCGGCAAACGACGACGACGACGACGACGACGACGACGACGACGACGACGACGACGACGACGACGACGACGACTACGAAGATGAACCCGCCTCCCCCCTAGGGCCGGCAAACGACGAGGACAGCGACCACGACTGCAAAAGCGCCAAGGGGGTGTTCGAACCCCTCGCCCCCTTGCGCCAGCAAACAACAACAACCAATGCCAAGTGGTGAACCCTCCCGTTGCGTGAGGGAGGAGGGCTGTGGGGAGGGGGCGTTCTGTGTGCGAAGAGTGGGATGGGGGTCCCATTCTCCGGGTGCTTTGGATGTTTGGGGCGGGGGGGCGGTTTGCAACGTGTCGAGATTTTAGAAACAATTGCAATCTCACTGCGTGTACACACGCCATACACCATGAAAACCACCCCGCAACCACTTTGCCGTGGTTGTTTTCACGGGTAGTCGGGGGGTCGCCATATTGCCCGATGCGTGCTGCTACGTGCTCTGGCGCACCTGGCGCGTGCAGAGCACGTGGCGCACGTGGGGCGCTTGGGCCACGGAGCCCCTGGCACGTGTGGCACACCTCCCGAGCCTCGCACGCCTTGCACCTGTCCTGGTGCACACTGGATGTCCGTCCGATGGCGACCTCTGTCTATGTTTGAGTCTCGGCTCGGGTGCTACTGATATGGTGGCAGGGCGGGTGGAACTGTTCGAGACAGCTTGTGGCGCTCACGTTGGGAACTTGACCCCTCCCCCTACCTCTTCCCCTAGGTGTGGAAGCAGGTGGTCGCGACACGTTAGGGCGTACAAAATTGCCCTAAACGGCCTGATAAGTCACAGGATATGGCATAAGATGGCCGAAGAGAGCTTCCGACATGACTCCAAGATGTACCAAGACCTCCCCAAGTGGTCTTGAAGCCTCCCAGGAACGCCCTCGAGAGGCCACAATGCAAGTGACCTTTATGTAGCCGATGGGCAATCATTGATATTTCCCTTCTCGCCTTTTTGTTCCCGATGGTCCTCCGAGGCCCCAGCATGGCTCCGAGATGGCCCACGAGAGCCAGGAGAGGGGCCCATTGGGGCTCCAAGACGGCCCACAAAGCAGTCCATGAGGCGATTTGTCGGCCTCTGGCGGGTGGAAAGTAATTCAGGAGTCTTCCTTCGTTGATCGATGGCCCTCGAGATGGCCCCAAGAGCGCCTTGAGGGCTCCAAGAAGGACCCCAAGATAATTCAATTAAGAGATGAAGATGCAGAAGGCTAAATGCAGCGGGTCAACGAGTGAGCAGGTAAGGGTGCGGTGAAGAAAGGTCCTTTCCCCGCCCCCTACTCCCCCTCCGTCCCATCCTCCTCAATCCCTCCTCGTCATAATCCGTCTCCTCCCTCGCCCTCCCCCCCTCCCCCTCTCCTCCCTCCTTCTTCTCCTCCTCCCCCTCATCCTCCAGACACTCGAGATACCGTGGCTCTCTCCACTGTGCGCCGGTCTGCTCAACCCCGGCCGCCTCCTGCTGGCCCCAAGGGAGGCCCGAGGCGCATCAACTCCGGGAGGGTGAGAACGCGTGGAGGAGCAGGCCGTCGCGGTCTTCCCTGAGAATCGACGGCGCGAACAAAAACTGGATCATCGTAAACATCGCGCCCGGCGCTCTGGACCCTGTCTTTCTGCTGCGTGTTTCGGGCCGGATCGATCGGTCGGGGGCCCGCGGGGCCCGAACTTGGGCGGAAGCGCCCGGCTCGACAAGAGATGTAGTCGCCAAGATCTCAAGGCTTGTCCTCCTCCCAACGCCCCTCCACGCCCTCCTCCCCGAAGAAACAAGGCAATGCCATGGGCCACGGGAGATTGCCACTAGGGTGCCGCCACCTCCTGACGAGGAGGCCGGGGAGGACCCCCCAGGACCACCCGGACCGCCACCAAAATGTTCAGAAGCTTCCCGCTTCGCGACCCTCTCTCATTTTCGATCCCACCTCCTGTGAGAAGAAGCGGCTCCTGGACCCCGAAATCTTCCAATGCTCTTCACCCGGAACCATTTACCATCATGACTCCCCTGGCCGGCCGGCTGGGGAGGGCCCTGGGAGAGCGAAAACGGAGAGAACAACCTGAGGAGCCCGATCCCTCCCCCAGATATCTGACGTTGCGTTTGTTTTCGCCACGTGGCTCCCCGAGGTCTGGACGCCTCTCTGGGGACCGCCTGTTCATCCTGAGTGGGTCTCTCTTGCCAGTCCAAAGGCCTGGTGCAAGTCTCCCAAGAGGCTGGAAAGACGCCCAAACCTTCCGTCATGATCTCTTCACGACGCGAGGCGGTCGGGCAGGACTCTTTTCCCTCATGGCGACGCTTGCTCAAACGCATGAGCCGTCCGGCCCGGGGCCTGACGTCCTTGAGCTCGGCCTCTTCCTGCGAGAAGTGTGCCAAGGCGAAGGCCTGGCCAACGTCCGTCGGGGTGACCTCGGGCGCGGCCTCGGGAAGGCTCCTCGGACGACCCAGATCATAGCCGTGGCCAAGAGGACGGGGGAAGCGAGGGGGAGGGGAGGGGGGAGGGATGAGAGGAACGGAGATTGGCATGAGGGATGGGATGGGAATGGGGATGGGGAGGGAGAGACATGACCGGGGAGGGATGGCGAAGGGAAGGGACGGGACGGGTATAGAGGGGAATGCAGCTTAAACGAACGAGGGGGGAGGGGTAATTAGATAAAATGGGAGGGAAGGGAGGGGAGATGACGAAAGGGGAGGAGAATTGGGAGGTGCTGAGAGGAAGAGGAAAGGGGGGCGAGTGAGAGGGGAAGGACGGGGGGAGGGGAGGGATCGGGGAGGGAGGGGCCTGGGCGGAAGGGTCAAGGTGGGAAGGGGAAGAGGAGGGAGGGAGGGAGGGATGGGAGGGATGGGATGGGATGGGGGATCGGGGAAGAGGGCCGGAAGGATGGAGAGAGAGAGAGGGGCCGGGCGTGGGTGTCGGGGTTGCGGGGTGCATGCGGCTCGCGCCTCCTCTGCCTCCCCCTCCTGCCACGGACACCGCCCCATCACGCGCGGCCTCCGTCGTCCTGGGGCAGCGCGTGATAAGGGTGGTGGAGAAGGAGGAGGAGGAGGAGGAGGAGGAGGAGGAGGAGGAGGAGGAGGCCGAGAGGTACTCTATGGTGGCCAAACGCAACCCAACAACAACGAGCAGGAGGTGCTTCGGCGATCCAGCGGCGACGAGACGAGGAATGAAGCGGGGCAGAATGCCGAGCCATCTCCTAGTGGTCCGTCCTCACCGCCTCCTCCTCGTAAGCCTCCTCCTCGTAAGCCTCCTCCTCGTCGGCGCCCTCCACCTCTTTAGCAAAATCAGCAAGACCAGATGAGTTTGATGTCCCACAAGCGCAACAACATATCAAATGAAAGGGAAACGCCAAACAAATTAGAATGCTCCTTTCTCCCCCCCTCCCACGGCGCCTGGTACCCCGCCCTGGCCCCCGTGAACTCAGTCAACGAAGGCCGCGAAGTCCGCGCTGCCTAGAGCGGCGGTTGGCCTGAGGGTTTCGTTGGTGCGGTGGGGGGCGGCCGCGGAGGAGGGTCCAGAGCTCCTTGAATGTTCGATGTTGGCGTGCGCCGCTAAGCAAGCTCGAGCGCCTGATTTGTAAAGAAGTTCCGCACAGGGCACAACACATTGCAAGGGCATCGTGCTGCAGGAGCCAGGACACATAAAGCTTGTGGCCAAAGCGTCCTGGCTACATGAGAGCCCTCATAACGCTGAGGTTCAGGATCTTACATTCGAGACGGGTTCTTGCCGAGACGTGACGAAAGCAGCGCGAGCACCTCCCAACTCCCACAAGCCAGCAAGGGGTGCGTGGGCCAGGCCGGTACAACTCAGCTGGAACAGGCCACTCGGCAATAACCTGGGCGATGGCATTACACAAAGTCTTTTAGTGAGTCCAAAGATCACTGATCTCATCGCAAAAGTGCCAATCAAACCCATGGGCACGGGCACCTTGGTTGGCCAACCAATTCGCACCTCTTTTACCGGCAATGTCTTTTTCACCATCCGAGTTCAAAGCTTCCGGGTCTTGCCGCTGAGCCTTCACATGCCCGAGGTCCAGCCAGCCTTCGGCCATGCCGACAGCAATCGTACGGAAAACTGAACATGGCGAGTATTCCCGCTGAGGGCCTGCTTTGGGTTTCAAGGCAGCCTTCAGCAGGGCGTCGCCATAGATGGCAATATGGCTGGGGAAAGTTTCCTCAATATGTATTGCAGCGACCGTTCTAGCGGCATGCTCCGCCACGAAAGACTGCTAGCCGAACAAACGAGGGATGGGCCCGTAGATGCCCCGAACCACCTGGCCAGCATTATCCAGCTCGCAGGCGCCGAAGCCCGCCCAAGCCCTAAAACATTAGCCTGGCGAAAGACCCAACCATATGCAGCTGTGCGTACCGCAGGTGTGGGTATCGTCTTCGGTGGAGCTCCATATGGGCCACGAAACGCTGTACCGGGCGGGGGATACGCATGCAAACTTCGCGACTGTGGCCTTCGGTGGGGCTCCCTATGGGCCACGAAAAGCTTTACTGGGTGGGGGGGGAACGCATGTGAACGGGTCCGTTGGGGCCTTAAGTGGAGCTCCCTATGGGGCCACGAAGCGCTGTACTGGGTGGGGGAACCGCGTGTGAACTATGCTATTGGTGCCTTCGGTGGAGCTCGCAATGGGGCCACGAAGCGCTGTAATGGGTGGGTTGAACGCACGTGGACGCTGCCATTGAGGCCTCCAGTGGAGCTCCCTATGGGGGCCCGGAAACGATGTGCTGGGTGGAAGAAACGCATGTGAGCAGTCCATTAATGCAGTCGGTGGAGCTCCCTACGGGGCCAACGCTGTGCGGGGTGGGGGAGCCGCATGCGGGCAACCCCACTGGGGCCTTCGGTAGAGCTTCCTATGGGGCCCCGGACGCTGTGCTGGGTGGGGGATGCGCATGTGGAAACGGCCACTCGGGCCTCAGGTGGATTCCCTATGGATCAACGAAACGCCGTGCTGGTGGGGGGACGCCGCCACTGGCGCCTTCGGTGGAAGCCCCGATGAGGCCACGAAACGGTGTGCTGGGTGGGAGAAGCGCATGTGGACACCGCCATTCGGGCCTTAACTGAAGCTTCCTATGGTGCCCTGCAACGCTGCGCTGGGTGGGCGGGCGCATGTGGACACAGCGATTGGGGCCTTAGGTGGAGCCCTCTATGGGGCCACGAAGCGCTGTTGTGGATGCGGGAACCGCATGCGGACACAGCCGCTGAGGCCTTCGGTGGAGCTCCCTATGTGGCCACGAAGCGCTGTATTGGGTGGGGACAACGCATACGGGAACCGCCACTGAAGCCTTCGGTGGAGCTCCCTATGGGGCCACGAAGCTTTGTACTGGGTGGGGGAACCGCATGCGGTGACCGCCACTGAGGCCTTCGGTGGAGCTCCCCATGGAGCCACGAAACGCTGTACTGGGTGGGGGAACCGCATGTGAACTATGCTATTGGTGCCTTCGGTGGAGCTCCCTATGGGGCCACGAGACGCTGTACTGGGTGGGAGAAGCGCATGTGGACACCGCCACTGGAGCCTTAAGTGAAGCTCCATGGGGGCCCCGGAACGATGCGCTGGGTGGAAGAAGCGCATGTGAACGGTCCACTGGGGCCGTCGGTGGAGCTCCCTACGGAGCCACGAAATGCTGTGCTGGTTGGGGGAGCCGCATGCGGGCACCTCCACTGGGGCCTTCGGTGGAGCTCCCTATGGAGCCCGGAACGCTGTGCTGGGTAGGGGAGGCGCATGTGGAAACGGCCACTCGGGCCTTCGGTGGAGCCCCATATGGAGCCACGAAGCGCTGCACTGGGTGGGTGATACGCATACGGACACCGCCACTGAGGCCTTCGGAAGAGCTCCCTATGGTGTCATGAAGCGCTGTATTGGGCGGGGGGGCCGTATGCGGACACCGTCAATGAGGCCTTCTGTGGAGCTCCCTGTGAGACCACGAAGCGCTGCACGGGGTGGGGGGACCACATGCGGACCCCGCCACTGAGGCCTTCGGTGGAGTTCCCTATGGGGCTACGAAGCGGTGTGCTAGGTGGGGGAACCGCACGTGAACTTAGCTACTGGTGCCTTCGGTGGAGCTCCCTATGGGGCCACGAAGCCATTGAGGCCTCCAGTGGAGCTCCCTATGGGGGACCGAACCTCATGCGCTGGGTGGAAGAAGAAGCGCATGTGAACGGTCCACAGGGGCCGTCGGTGGAGCTCCCTACGGGGCCACGAAAAGCTGTGCTGGGTGGGGGAGCCGCATGCGGGCACCCCCACTGGGGCCTTCGGTGGAGCTCCCTATGGGGCCCCGGAACGCCGTGCTGGGCGGGGGAGGCGCGTGTGGAAACGGCCACTCGGGCCTCAGGTGGACTCCCTATGGGGCAACGAAACGCCGTGCTGGGTGGGGGGACGCCGCCGCCGCCAATGGCGCCTTCGGTGGGGACCCCGATGAGGCCACGAAACGATGTGCTGGGTGGAAGAAGCGCATGTGGACACCGCCACTGGGGCCTTAAGTGAAGCTCCCTATGGGGCCACGCAACGCTGCGAAGCGCTGTTGTGGGTGGGGGAACCGCATGCGGACACAGCCACTAAGGCCTTCGGTGGAGCTCCCATCTGCGGCCACGAAGCGCTGTATTGGGTGGGGGAAACGCATACGGGGACCGCCACTGAAGCCATCGGTGGAGCTCCCTATGGTGCCACGCAACGCTGTACTGGGTGGGGGAAACGCATGCGGACACCGCCACGGAGGCCTTCGGTGGAGCTCCCTATGGAGTCACGAAGCGCTGCACTGGGTGGGTGATACGCATGCGGGTACCGCCACTGAGGCCTTCGGAAGAGCACCCTATGGTGTGATGAAGCGCTGTATTGGGCGGGGGAACCGCATGCAGACACCCCCACTGGGGCCTTCGGTGGAGCTCCCTATGGGAGCACGAAACGCTGTACTGGGCGGGGGACGCTCTCCACCTCTCCTTCATGTCGTCTGACCCCGGCTCTCGCCCGTGCGCTCGCGATCGCCCTCAGGCCCACACACTCGCGAGCGCGCAAGGTCGGTGATGACCCTCCCCCCCGGCCCTTGCGAGGCCCGTCTTCCCACTCGACGACTACCCCGAGGCCGTGGGATAGGCTGGGCCCGCCCTCCTCCTCCCCCCCCTCCCCCAAATGCGCGTGCATGCGCATGCGTGGTCGCCACGACGCTGTTGTCTTGAGGCCTGCTCGCCGCAGCAAGTGGCGGAGGTGGCGGGCGCCCGCGGATTCGACGACTCCTCTCGGCCCTGTCGGGGCCATGTTGAAACCCTCGGGATCACTGTCTGAACAGGATCGGCGCAGGATTTTCCGCGCCCATGCTGAGACCGCGTCGAAGCCTTCCGAAGGACGGCATCACCAGCAACGGTGAGCCCGAGTAGCGCGTCGTCGCTGGTGGAGGAGGCCGGCCAGTCCGCGCGCCTCGCATTGAGCAGGGACCGACCGTCCGGGCATTCCTGTAGTCCTACCACGGAATGTGCTTAGAACCCAAAGATGTTCTAATAACAAAAACAATGTTCTTAGGACATAGGCCCGATGTGATAACACAAGGCAGACTCCGCCAGAAATGTTCTAAGAGCATTCCGTGGAACCCACAAGAGGTTCTCAGAACATTGATTGGTAGGACTGTAGGCGAGCCAGGACGCTTCGCCACTGCGGCGAGCGGGGTAGGCGGGGAAGGGAGCGGAGGCCAGGCCGCCGCCTGCTCCTCAGGGGAGCCTAATAGCAAGTCTGCGATTTTCTGCTCGGCCGCGGCGTCGTCTTCGGATGCCTCGGCCTGGGGAGGTTCCTGGATCGGAGCCGCCTCCGAGTGCTCGGCCTCCTCGTCTCCGCTCGAGTCAGAGTCAAGGAAGCGGCGGCGCTCAGGATCAACTCTGGTCCTGGCGCCGCGACTCCGTGGGCCACCCGCGAAGTTCGCCACTGCGTGGTCGCAGCTTGCCCGAGAGGACAGCGAGAGGAGGCCGGGGCGCCCGCTGCCGGCCGGCCCCGAGCTCCTCGCGGCGGCGAGGCCTTGCCGGAGGCCGCGGGCGCCGAGCGCCTCGCACCCCGCGGCCGGCGCCAGGTCCCGCGGGCCCTCGGCGTGCGAGCTCGCGCGGCCTCGGGGGCACGCTGGGGTTAAGTCGGGCCTGTCGCCCTACAGGCCGATTTTGGACGATTTTTTTATTTTTTAAACAATAATAATAAAAAAAAACCAGCAAATGCACTAAAACTGTTCAAAAATCAACCAAAACAATCCCCTGACTATGTTTAAACTATTTTGAATATTCTCCCTGTAGAGGGGCAGGCCCGACTTGACAATGGGGGGGAAATGACATGTTCGTCGGATCTACAACGAATGCGCAGAACGTCAATAGTTCTACCAACATGCCCGGCGACAGAGATCAATGTTGAGGCAAGGCATTGTGTGATCGATCTCCTACTCGAATTATTCAACGATGCCTCTGAACATTGCTGGTCCATTTCGCGGAAGCCTGGCGGCTGGGAGTTGTAGTGAAGCCGTGGTGCCATCAGGAGGTCATGTTGAGGTTGCAGGTCGCTCCAGGACCCATCGAAGAGCGAATGTCCCAAACCAGTCGAAGGTCAGCGATCAAAGCTCCAGGGTCGAGTATCAAGTATCAAGTTCGAAGATTCGTGATCGACATCGAGGGCCCTGGATCCAATTTCGGGGGCGTCGCGCGTGTGCGCGCCGCGTGTGCTGGTTTGCCCACCATGGTAGTGCTATCATTGCCGCTTTGTTGCCATGCCTGCTCTCTTCTTCTCGGCTGCAAGGCAGCATCTGCAGTGTGACCAAGGCAACTTTCTTCGCGATTCGCGCTCTGCGAAGCGCGAAGCGCGATGATCTTCGCGCTTCGGCGCCGCCCCAACACCAGAGCAGGATGAGGAGCTCGCGCCTCGCTCTGAAATCGACCAGATCGCGAAACGCGGCTAACTTCGCACCCTCGTGGTGGCCCCAGTGTCAGCGGTCGCAGAGCAGGACGTGTCTGGACGCGAAATCGCCCCCGATAGGGCGAGGCCCCCCCCCCGCAGGAGGCGGCTCCCGCACGCCAGATCTCTGACGCTGTGATGGTTCGAGTCGGGCCTCTTCGGCCCCTGGGAAAGCAGGCGAGAAACTGCGTGCGCCAAGCGGCACACATCTATAGGGCGACGAGATCTATGCATATCCACTGCTCCTGGCCAGGCCAATCCTGGGCCCAGGAGCGGTGTATACGCCCTCCTGGCCTGGCCAGGGAGGCATATACACAGCTCCTGGGCCCAAGATGGGCCTGGCCAGGAGCAGTGGATATGCATAGATCTCGTCGCCCTAATCTAGCATGGAGGAACAGCACCGCCATTGCTGCAATACGCTGTCACGATGGATTTGCACATGTGGCCAACGGCGCAGCAGCGAATTCAACCTCTCTGCGCCGCCGGCTGCTCTCACGTTCACGTGCTGATGTGCCGTTTGGCCCACGCGATGTATTGCTTGCTTTCGGCCTCTGGGGCCCGATATCGGGACGATCAAACACTGATCCGGGACGAAACGCTACTCCCAGAGACGGGGTCAGGAACTCTGGGGCCGCGGATTGGCGAATCAGATCGGTTGATATCAAGGACTGTGGCCCTCCAACCGGACACTCCAAAAAACTTCCAAGATGGGCACGTCCCCTGGTCTCGGTCTCGCTGCCCTGGTGACATCCCGCACGCCGATTTTGTCCATTGGGCTCGTAGGGGGAAAAGGAAACAAGGATGATGGCGACGACCAGGCGGCGGATGTCGAGGATGCCAGCGTGGACGACGGGGAGGGCAGCGAGGGGAGCGAAAGGACAACGAGCAAAACGACAAGCATGACGATGACGAGGAGGAGGAGGAGGAGGAGGAGGAGGAGGAGGAGGAGACGGAGGAGGAGGAGACGGAGGAGGACGAGTACGAGGAGAAACGACGCGGAGGAGGAGGAAGGAGGAGGAGGAGCAGGAGGAGGAGGAGGAGGAGAAGGAGCAGAATGAGGAGGAGGATAAGGACGACGACGAAGAAGAAGGACGGTAAGGATAACGACGAGAAGGACGTCGAAGAGGAGAGGGGTCCTCGTGATCTTTTGAGGCTACCTTGAGGGATGTTGGGTCCGTCTAGGGCTATTGTGGGGCATCTAAGGGGCCTCTTGGGGGCCTGTCGGTAACCTCAACACAGTCGATATTACGTCAATGCCACCCCGCGAAATGACACAAATGGCCTCCACTTGTTTAGCATATGCGGCTTTTCCGTTTTCTGACGTTCCAGAATGCCTAAGGAACCCCCAAGGCCGCCCCAAGACGGCCCAGGAGCCCCCAAAAGAGTTCCAAGACGGCCCACGAAGGCCCTAAGACGGCCCAAGAGGCCGCCCAAAATGGCCTTATAACAGTCCCAAGAGGGGCTCAAGAGTAGGAGACCGAACCGACAATAAGAGCCTTCCGCCCCAAGATGCCCCAAGAAGGCCCCAGGAGGCCCCCAATAGGCCCCAAGTAACCCCCAAAACGCCCCAGGAGGCTCCAACACAGCTCCCAAGAAAGCTCAGACCCCCCCCAGGAGGGGTTCGGAGGCCCCCAGGATAAGATCACCAAGCGGGTGCCCCGCCATTATCCGCTCCCGCGGGCTTCCACGAGTCCTCTTCAAAATCGCTCGTCAACCTCTTCCCTCACGTCTTCCCTCTTTTTTCCTCCCTCCCTTCCCTTCTCCTCTGGGGTGCCCTTGCCATTTTCCGTTCCCGCGGGCTCCCACGAGCCACCTTCGAAATCACCCTTCCTCCTCCCGTTCCCCCACGTCGCCCCTCCTGCCCTTTGTTCCCCACTTCTTCTACCCTGTCCCCTTTCCTCTTCGCACTCTCGTCATCAATTTTCGCGCTCTGCCAATTCCCACGCACGCACTTCCACGGCATCACCCGCACGACTTGCACTTCAGTTTGCGTTGTGCGTGAGCACGCCGCGCGAAGTTCGCCCCCCCTGCAAAGTCGGATTTGGGAGGCTTCCTCCTGAAAACGCCCGAACACTCGTACGATTGCCAACTGCGCGACGTGAACCCGGCGCCCACGCAATCCGCGCATGCCACCTTCCCTCTCTTCGCGAAATGTTCCGTCTCCTGCGCGCCTGTTATGTGGCCTTGCCCCCCCGTCTTGCAGGCCGCGCACGTCAGCTCTCGCTTAAGCCGATTTGCCGCATCGGCCGTGCTTTTCGCGCTGACGCCCGGTTTGGCCCATGCTCCGCGCAGACTGCTCCGGCTCCTTTCGCCGACCGATGGTGCCCCACCTGGTTCCGGTTCGCACTACCCGTGTCCAGAAAGTCTTCCCTCAACCTCGCGCACATCACGTCAACGGCTTTGGTTCCGTCTCAGATTACCGCATGCGATTGATTGACTCGAGCGTCAACTTCTCGCGCTCCTCCGCGCAATTCCGACAGTCTCTCCCCAGCAACGGTACGTTTCTCCTGCGTTTCTGACATCTCCGCCTTTTTAATTCGAAATGCGACCGGTACGTGCCGTTCCAGCACCTCACTGTGCGAACGCTTTGAGGTGCCCTCTTTGGGCACTCAAGAGACTCCCTTTGCACCCGAGAGCGAAAAATGGGTCGGCGGATGTGGCGTCAGCCTTCAGAACATTAGTGTAATGGGAGGGGGAGTTTCCGCAGTGCGTCTCCTGTTGAGCAGGGACCTACCGTCCCGGCACTTCTTCTATAGGCCTACCACGACATGTTCTTAGAACACAAAAATTGGTTCATCATAGAAACAAGGTCGTATAACATAGGCCCGATGAGTTATATTTAGGCTGACGAAGGACCCAACCGTATGCAGCTGTGAATACAGCAGGTATGAACATCATCTTCGCCCGCGCTCCCTATGGGGCCACGAACCGTGTGATGGGCGTGCCGACATGCGTGGCGGGGCACACAACGCGGGCGAAAACGATAGGTCTGCGTGCGAGAGACTGAGAGCGAGTGAGTCAGATTGTGGATGAGTCTGCGCGCGCGATGTCGACGTGCATACATGTCGACGCCCATGTCGGCGCATCTCTCACGAGGATCGCGCCCGCTTCCTTCCCGTTCTTCTTCTCCCTCTTTGCCCGTGCACGCCCACGTCCAAGGCTGCGGGCGCGGCGCCGCAAGGAGTCCCCGCGACGCGCGCTGGTCGCCCCGAAAGGGTCCCGACGACGCGCGCGGGTCGCCCGCTGCGCGGAGCAGAAAGAGCGAGCAGGCTGGCTCCCGCCTGGGATGCGCGGCCCGAAAGCGGCCTCAATACGTCGAATACGACGAAAAACCTTCAGACATCAAAAGTCGCCGCCATGCGACCTCAGCCACTGGGCCGTCATGCGAACTCCGCCACGGAGACCTCAGGTGGAGCTCCCTGTGGGGACACGAAACGCTGCACTGGGTGGTGGATGACGCATGCGGGCGGTCCCACTGGAGCCTTCGGTGGAGCGCCCTATGGAGCCACGGAGTGTTGTTCTGGGTGGTGAAAGACGCATGCGGGCGGTCCCACTGGGGCCTTCGATGGAGCCCTCAATGGGGCCACGAAGCGCTGTACTGGGTGGTGGATGACGCATGCGGGCGGCCCCACTGGGGCCTTCGGTGGAGCTCCCACTGGGGCCTTCGGTGGAGCCCTCAATGGGGCCACGAAGCGCTGTACTGGGTGGATGACGCATGCGGGCGGCCCCACTGGGGCCTTCAGTGGAGCCCCCCATGGGGCCACGAAGCGCTGCACTGGGTGGTGGATGACGTATGCGGGCTGTCCCCCTGGGGCCTTCGGTGGAGCCCTCTATGGGGCCACGAAGCGCTGTTCTGGGTGGTGGGTGACGCATGCGGGCGGTCCCACTGGAGCCTTCGGTGGAGCGCCCTATGGGGCCACGAAGTGCTGTGCCAGGTGATGGATGACGCATGAGGGCGGACCCCCTGGGGCCTTCGGTGGAGCTCCTCTTCAAAACGAGGACCCAACACCACAGGATGGTTGGGAACAAGACAGTCCAAGTCAGAAATGCTCTGAGAACATGTCGTGCAAAAGCCACAAGCGGTTCCTAGAACATTCCTCGGTGGGCCTATAGAGGGCGACCCGGGACGCGTCGCCACTGCTTGATCCTGGGCCGTCAAGGCCTCCGAGTCCACTCTCCGACGCCTCCAAGCTTCCCTCCAAGATGGCTCGAAGTCGCCACGGAGCCACGAGCTTCCCTCCAAGATGGCTCTCTGACGCCTCCAGGCTTCCCTCCAAGACGCCCTCCGAGACGGCTCGAGGTCGCCACGGCGCCACCCCGGGGTACCCGGGAAATAGCGAGCCCTCCGGCGGCCTGCCGCCGGCAGCCTCGCGGCGGCCGCCAGCCCCTCGGCGCCGCCGCCGTGCTCGCGGCCGCCGGCAGCGCCGTGCCCGGGCTCGCGCGGGAGCCCTCCAGGCCTGCCGGGGGGGACGGGCAGCACGGGCAGAACCGATCGCAGGGCGGCGCGAGGAGGACGCGCGCCCTTGGGCGCCCAGGTCGGGGCGCGTCGCGCGGGGCTGGCCAGGCCGTCGAGAGTGGTGCAGGATGGGCCGAAGATGCAAGGATGCAGGGGTGCCCCATGGGAAGGTTGCCCACCCTTGTCATCGGCTTCGACTTCATGGGCCACCGCCACCGAGAACCCATCGGTGCGGGACCGACCCCTGGACGGTGACATGCCTGAGCGTGGTCCGGAACTGGGGAAGTGCTTGGGCGTGCCACCGCCCAGGGTTCGGCCCCCCACAAATGGGTTCTCGGTGGTGGTGGTCCGCGTTTCTCCTCTGATCAAACGATGGAATCTGAAGCTCTGGTCGTGATTTCCGCGATGACGCAATCTTTCCGCAACGTCGGATCTCGGGTGGGAGGGGCGCGGAGAGGGGGGGGCATCTGGGGGAGGAGGGGGGGTATCCGGGTGAGGGGGGTGGCAAGGAGGAGGAGGAGGAGGAGGAGGAGGAGGAGGAGGAGGAGGAGCAGGAGGAGGAGGCGGAGGAGGAGGATGGGAGGTGCACGTGGGGGAGCCGAGAGGGCTCAGGGGCACGGGGAGGGGGAAGAGGGGAAGCAGGAGGGATAAAGAGACAGGGGTACAGAGAGGAGCGGGCTGAGCAGGAGGAGGAGCAGGCATGGCAGACACTGGATGCACAGGCAGGCCCTTCTGCACCCGCCGACCCCAGGGCACAACGGCTGCGCTCGAAGTCCCAGCCGACACGGACCCGACGGGCTGAATTGGCATCGTAGCCCCAGGCGGCGGACGCAGCTCGCCTCCCGTCGGGCGCCCTGCCGCCCCCCGCGCCCCCGGATCTCGGCGGTGCGCGCCGCGACACGGTCGACCAGCGAGGCCTCCAGAGCAGCCGCCCCTCTCGACCGCCGAGGCTGTCGGCCCTCCACCGCCGAGCGCCCCGACCTCGACGATCGCCTCGGACCGCGCCGCCGTGCGGCGGCGCACCGCGCCGACGTCCCACCCGTCGCCGACCGCGGCTCGGACGGCAGCCCAGCGCCGCAGCTTCTCGTCAAGAGCCGGCCCGCCGAGCGCCGCAACGCCCAGCACTTCGACCAGCTCCCCTGGAGAACGGCGCTGTGGATGTGCTCGTCCTCTTGGGGTCTTGGCCCTGGGCCCTGCGCTTCGTGACCGCCTCCATGACCGTGCTCTCTAGAGCCTGCTGGTTCTTCTGCTTCGTCACCAGAGCGCTTCATCGCCAACGCTGCTATCTCCAGCGCCGCAGTGTCCAGCTTCAGTGCGCACTCCTGCGCTTCGGTCGTAGGCGTAATCCTGCACGCCACGTCTGGGGACGCCCTGGAAACTGCGCCAGGAGCTGTGCCACCGTTAGAAAGCAACTCACGGAAGCATTTGGTCCCCGTGACGCCCAATACCGCGCTCGATCGCGCGCAAAACGGCCAGTGTCGTGGCGCTATTGGGCGCTGTTGGTCGCAATTGGGCGCTAGTTGAACGCTATTCTGAGCTGCTGGGCGCTATTCGCCGATATACGTTCAACCCAAGACAAGCGGAAACTTTCGTGCTTCGCCATCTAACCACCGCAGCCTGAACACTCGCTGCCGCCACAGCAGCCGCTGACGGCTGCGCTCGAGCCGTGGGCGGTGCAGCGCCACGGTACGCTCGATCCCTCACCGCCTGCCTGGCCACTTCCTGGGCATCGCTCTTTGGCCAGCAGGCACGCGTCGGGCTGCTCGAGCGACGGCATGGCGCATATCGCCCCCGCCGCACCTGCGCTCCGCAGCGCCCGCCAACGCTGCGACGGCCACGCGCTGCATGGGCCGCCCTCGCACGCAGCGCTGCGCCCCTGTCACCGCGGCGGTGCGCTGCTGTCGCTGGGCCTCCAGCGCGGCCTCCTCGGCAGCGCGGTCGGCGAGCGCTTCATCTCCGCATCCCGGCACGCAGCCGCTCGCGGCCGCTCGCCTCTGCTGCCCTCCCCCCATCCTCCAGGCCTCGTAGGGCTGTTTCTTGCGCGCCACAGGGTGGCAGCTTTTGGGCCGCTCGTCCTCGGAGGGGCCCCGGGGGCGGAGCACGCCGCACACTCGTCGCAGCGGGGCGCCAGTGACAGACCAGGCGCCGTCCGGGAGGACCCCCGAGGGCCGCGTGCCGCGCGCAGGGCTTCCTCAGCGCGAGGGCGCCTGCACCTTTGTCAGCTTGCACCGAGCGGATCCGATGCTTGCCGAGGCAGAGGAAGGACGGGCGAGCGCAGCACCAGTCGGCCCAGGATGCCAAGCTTGGGGGTTCCTCGTGGAGAGCGTGCAGCCATGCCTGTCGGTCCGAGGTGTCGAACGCGCTGGAGGGGTCGAACTTCGCATGAACCTTCTCGCGGTGCCCCGGGTTGTGCACACGTGGCCAGCTGTCTGCTGCCCGCACGTCGCTCCCTCGAAGCGCCGATGGGCCGACGGTCGCCGCCACTTGCCGCTGCATCGGGCGACCGCCGCGCACCCATGGCCGCCCGTGCGTGCACGCCCACCCCGAAGACTGGCACCGAGGCGAGCGCCGAGCCGGCCAGCGGCCAGGATGCCCAGCCCGCAGCGGCACCAGGGGCGGCCGACATCTGAGCGGCGACAAGGAACAGGTCGTACGCGGAAAGACAGAGCGACCGTACTCCGCTGTATGCGCCGTCCGCCAGCGCGGCACACCGCGTGGAGGAGAGGGCGCTTACCAACGACCTTAGCGGTAAGCGAACGTACGCGCGAATGTCCGCTGTGAGCGGGCCCGCACTCGGCCGACGGGGGCCTGCGCCGCCGTCGCGGGCGGCGGCAGAAGCAGGCGCGGGGGCGTCGCGATGCAGCAGCCCGAGCCAATCTTGCTTGGGTCAAAATTGCCACCACAGAGGACGAGCAGGAGGAGGACCCGCCCCGGCTACCAGTTACAGCAACGCTTACTTGGACCCATCCTGGTATCGAAGGTGCGCGTCGCGCTGTCCCGGGCCAGACTGCCACTGCTTCGGCAACCGTGCTCGACGCCCAGCAACCCGAAACAATTGGCCCAGCAAGACATCTGCCGCGGTCGCTGGCCAGAGCCCAGCGCTTGACTGCACCACCATGGGCTTCGACTTCTGCTCGTCTAAGGTCGTGGTCATGGAAGCACGGCCGAGGGTGCGATCAAGGAACGCTTGGTTCAAGATGCCTGGGCCGGCTTTCGGGCAACATCATCTAGAGCACACGCTGAGCTCACCTCGCACGTGCAGCCTCGTGAATGCACTCGTGGATGAGCAAGGTGACTTTCGAACCTGGGCCAGCTTTCGGGGATGCTGCCGAAGAAACGCTGGCCCAGGTGAGCGAGGTGAGGCTTCTCAGTGTGCGGCGCGACTCTGCTCGCACCAGGGAAGGCCCTTTCCGACAAACTCTACCAGAGGTTTCCCTGCACACCTGTTTGCCACGCAGGTTCCAACAAGGATGAATGGTGCCATCCTGTGCGAGCCCGCGCTTCTCACCGGCGCGCCGCACATCGGGCTGGACCTGAGAGCCTGCAGGCTGATTGGGCCAGGGTTACCCTCTGGAGCAAGCGGGGTTGGGCCAGCCCTGGCTGGGGGCTGTGCCTGGCCCAGTGTTGCCGGGGGCGGCGGCTGGGGACGTGGATGCTCGAGCAGGCGATTGTGGCGAGGTCGCGGTCACGGGCGCTCCCCGACAATCACACCGTAGAGGCGATGCGGGGGACAACCCTCTCCCCGCCCGCCACGCCGCGGTGGAAGCGCATCGGCAACCGAGCTGCCGGGCGGACCGCTGCCACCAGCTCGCGGGTCAAACCTGCTGCGCGGTGATAGGACCGTCGCGGGTCAAACATCCTGTGCGGTGATACGCGCGGGAGAGCGGAGTGCCGTCACGAGGCACCATACTAGGCTGCAGCCAGCCGCTCTCTGCCATCCTTCAGTTTCGCCTTCTCCTCCTGTCAGTCGGCGATGGGTGCCGTGTCGGGCACGGAGTTCAGGTCATGGGAAAACGTGGGATCCCTTGACTTTCGCATAGGGGCGGTGCGTCCCCGCCGCCAAGCACTGGGCGCTGGCCGCACCCCGTGCTTGACGGCGAGGACGCACCTGCAGTGCTCGCCGGCTGCGGTGCCTGCCAAGGTCTGGACGTGCCTGTGATGTGGATCATCTCCTAGCTTCGCAAGGAGCTCTGGCAGCGTACCCAGATGCCCTGCCCCTTGGGGCCCACAAGGCCAGTGATGGCTGCACTCTGCTGGGCCCGAGCGAGGTCCATACATACATATATATATATATATACATACATACATACATACACACACACGCGCGCGCACGCACGCACGCACGCACGCACGCACACACACACACACACGCACGCACGCGCGCGCACGCACGAACGCACACACACACACACACCCACACACCCACACACCCACACACCCACACACCCACACACCCACACACCCACACAGCCACACACCCACACACACACCCACACACCCACACCACACCCACACCCACACCCACACCCACACCCACACCCACACCCACACCCACACCCACACCCACACACACGCACACACACACACACACCCACACACACACACACACACACGCACACACGCACGCACGCACGCGCGCACGCGCACGCGCGCACCGCGCGCACGCACGCGCGCACGCGCGCACGCGCGCACGCGCGCACGCGCGCACGCGCGCACGCGTGCACGCGCGCGCGCGCACGCGCGCACGCGCGCGCGCACGCGCGCACGCGCACACGCGCACACGCGCACACGCGCACACGCGCACACGCGCACACGCGCACACGCGCACACGCGCACACGCGCACACGCGCACACGCGCACACGCGCACACGCGCACACACGCACACACGCACACACGCACACACGCACACACGCACACACGCACACACACGCACACACGCACACACGCAGCACACGCACACACGCACACACGCACACACGCACACACGCACGCACGCGCACGCGCACGCGCACGCGCACGCGCACGCGCACACGCGCACACGCGCACACGCGCACACGCGCACACGCGCACACGCGCACACGCGCACACGCGCACACGCGCACACGCGCACACGCGCACACGCGCACACACGCACACACGCACACACGCACACGCACGCACACACGCACACACGCACACACGCACACACGCACACACACACACACGCAAACACGCACACACGCACACACGCACACAGACACAGACACAGACACAGACACAGACACAGACACAGACACAGACACAGACACAGACACAGACACAGGCACACACAAGCACAAGCACACACACACACGTGGAGGGAAGTGGAGGGAAGTGGAGGGGGAGGGGGAGGGAGGCGGCCAGGAGAGGGGGAGGGAGGCGGGAGCCTGCCAGGGGCGCACACCTGGAGGTCGTGGCAGCAGGCGGTCCCCATCGGCAGGGCCTGGGCTCGCCGCTCCCGCCGGCCCCCTTGGGGGGGGGGAGGGGGGCGGGCTCGAGCCTGGGGCGGCCGCGGAGAGGCCCCGCCGCTGGCTGCCTGCCCCCCCTGCGCCTCATCCTCCGCCGCCGCCTCCCTCCCCTCCGCCACCCGCGCCCCGGTCCTCCATCCCCCCGTCTGCCTCCACCCTTCTCATCCTCTCCTCACCGTGCTCTTTTCTGCGCCTCCTCCTCTCCTCCTCCTCCTGCTCCTTGTTCATCCGCCTTGTCCTTTTCATGGTCCCCGTCCTCATCTTCCTGCTCCGTCTCCTTATCCTCATGTATGATCCCTCCCCTCTTCTTGTTCCTTCTCTTCTTTCTCCTCCTCCTCCACCACCGCCTCCTCCTCCTCCACCATTTTCCTTTTCATCCTCCCGCTCATCCCTCCTTTGCCCCTCATGTGTGTTTTGTCCTCCTCTTCCTCCTTACCCACCTCCTCATCCCCATCCTCCCCATCACCCCCCATCTAGAACTGTCATCGTTACCGTCTCCTCCTCCACTTACAGTCATCCCTCCTCCTCCTCCTCCTCCTCCTCCTTCTCCTCCTCCTCCTCCTCCTCTCCTCCTCCTCCTCCCCAGAGACAGGGAGAAAGAAATAGAGAGAGAGGGAGGGACATTGAGAGATGGTCATTGAGAGATGGATAGGGCCTCCCAGGCGAGAACTACTGCCAGAGGCCTTCCGTCTTCTCAAGCCGCAAGGCGCCTCGGGATCACGGCGGATGGACGCAAAGCAGGGGGCCAGGCCCGGACATCCCCCGACGCTTCTGCTTCAAATGCCCGGCCCTAGAGGTCCCGACTCCTTCCCCTGGGACAGGGGTGGCCCAACGCCGACAAGAGACAATACTGCCATGGAAACAACATGGTGGGCTTATGCCTTCCACGAACCACGGGAAATATTGGAATGATGCAGTTCCCCAAGAATACCTCCAGCCCTTACGGGTGTGACTGGCTTAGAGCGCTTTCTCCTCCAACCCCCTTTTTCCCCTATCGGGAAGGGGTTTGCCCTTCCCCCTACCCCGTCCCCTAGACCTTGAAGGGGGTTGCGACCAATTGGAGCGTCCAAGACGGCATCGGCTCGAAGTCAATCATCAATCATCATTGACTTCACTTAGGTTATCGAGCCATTTTGGCCTGCTGGGGGGGGGGGGGCGCAATGCCAATTAGAGCCAAATCCCCTCTTCTTTGATCGAACTCTTCCTAGATGTCCCGAAGATGGCCCCGAAGGCTCGCACGAGTGCCCCGAGAGGGCCCCAAACAGCGCCCAGGATGCCCCAAGAGGCCCACAGGAGGTCTCCAAGAGGCTCTCAAGCGACCCCCAAGAGGCCCCAAGAGGCTTCCCCTCCCCCTCCTCCCCCTCCGATTCCTCCTCCATCCTCCCCCTCTTCAGGTATGACGGCTTGCACCAGCCTTTGTTCCAATGCATATTCCTCCACATGGCAACTCGCCTGGACATCGTTTCTGGATGGGCTTGTGGGGTAACTCGAAGAGTCCACAACATGTCATAACGTTGGAGATCCGGGGAGGGCGACGACGATGAGGACGACGAAGACAATAAAGACGACGACGGGGACGACGACGGGGACGACGACGAGGGCGACGTGGACAAGGACGAGGACGACGAGGACGACGAGGACGACGAGGACGACGTGGACGACGTGGACGACGTGGACGACGTGGACGACGACAACGACAACGACGAGGACGACGACAACAATGACAACAATAACGACGACGACGACGACGACGACCACAATGACGACCACGACGGTGGCGACGGCCTGTGCCATGGCGATCTGAGAGCGCCCGCGCACGGGCGCGGGCCTCTCGATTTGACGGCCCTGCTTGCCGATCACGGGCAGCCCGCGCGGCGGCGGGCGCCAGCGCCTCGTACAATCAGATGTGGCCCTGCCTGGCGTGTTCCTCAGATCCTGCTGTCGGGGGCTGTCTTTGGAGCCCCAGGGGGCCATCAGAGAACGATCCGACTGGCCCTGAGGACCCGGACCTCCGAGGTCCCGATGTGAGCTCTACCCGAGCCCCTGACCAGGGAATCCTTCCCTGGAAACGGACCCAGGCCGCACAGCAATTGCAACAACCTCTCGCATTCTCCAATGCGTTGCATCTTTTGGGAGAGCTCCGAGGGCCCGCGGAAGGATCAAATCCAAGGGCCTGTAAGCGCCTCCATGCGCAAAGAGAAGACCTCAGGCTCGCTGTTTCGAGTACCTGGAGGCGGAGGTCTGGGGATAGCTCTGAGGGCCCACAGATCGAGCAAACGACAACATCTGGGGTGTAGCGAGACAAGCGCTGGGCGGGCCACCGGAACGTCGAGCAAGCGGGCGATGCCCGTGGCTGAGCCCAGTACCCTCTCACGTGGGAGACGCGACAAGATGATGAGGGGGGGGAGGAGGCCGGATGAGGCGGGGAGGGGAGGGAGGAGGAGGAGAAGGAGGAGGAGGAGGAGGAGGAGGAGGAGGAGGAAGAGGAGGAGGAGGAGGAGGAGGAGGAGAGGGAGGAGGAGGAGTTGGAGCGATGAGGGAGGAGGAGGAGGAGGAGGAGAAGGAGGAGGAGGAGGAGGAGGAGGAGGAGGAGGAGGAGGAGGAGGAGAGGAGGAGGAGGAGGAGGAGGAGGAGGAGGAGGGAGGAGAAGGAGGAGGAGGAGGAGGAGGAGGAGGAGGAGGGCGGAGGAGGAGGAGGAGGAGGAGGAGGAGGAGGGGAGGAGGAGAAGGGAGGAGGAGGAGGAGGAGGAGGAGGAGGAGGAGCGGAGGAGGAGGGCGCGGAGAAATGCGAGGAGGGGCAGAGGCCCGAGAGGCAGGATGAGCAGGGAGGGGGAAGGGTGCACGACGACCAGCCGCGGCGGCGGAGGAGCGGCGCGGGGCGCGGCGCCGCCCGCGCGACCTCGGGCGTCATGATCTGGTCGACGGGGTGGCTCTCGAGCAGCTCCTTCACCTGCGCAGGAACGAGCGCGGCCCACCACTCGCAGAGTGGCTACCCGCAAACGGCCTGGATCCGCCTGCGCAGGAACGAGCGCGGCCCACCACTCGCAGAGTGGCTACCCGCAACTGGCCTGGAGCCGCCGGGGGGGGGAAACCTGCGAGAAAGTATACCGAATCAGACCATGTGCTCGTCGGGCCTTTGCGAGTATACACCCTGCGAAATGCTTAAGAAATCATGGGTTAAGAAATTCATAGTCTCAGAACTTGATTAAAAACCCAACATTTCCATGAACATCTTAGGATTTACATTGAAACATTAAGAATAACTGAGACTCTGGCCGAAAACTTAAGTTTTCTTAAGCATCGCCTAAGGTGTATAGGCACTTTTGCGAGTATAGGCACTTTTGCGAGCAATGGGGACGCGCTCGGTGCCTCCGGCGGGGCCGGGGCCCACCGCGCCGGCCTCATGGGGCCCCCGTGGGGCCCCAGAGGCCCACGGCCGAGGGTCCAATTGGGGGCTCGGCTCCTGCCCGGGCCTCCGACGCGCGTGCCTGCGTCTGCTCTCCGTGTCCCTCCCCCCCTTTGGCCTCCAGGGGGGGCCTCTATTTCGGCAGGGCTCGTGCTGTCTGGGCTCGGGGGGGATAAGTCCAGATGGGGAGAGAGGCGCAACCGAGGTACAAGTTGTACCTACGCCCCACGGAGAAGGTACAATTTGTACCAACGCCACGCAGACAAGGTACAAATTGTACTTTTGACAACGTCCGCGACATGTGCGAGGATGTTAACGGGGGGGAGAAGGTACAATTTGTACTTGCAACCCGCAGAGAAGGTACAAATTGTACCCCAACAAAGCGGTACCGGATACTCATCCCCCCATGTCCTGATCCCCCCATCGCCATCCGGCCGATTCGTTTCCCCCGCCCCCTCCCCGGCCTCCGGTTTTTCCCCGCGTGCGAGGTGGGGTTATGGTTTGCCTCCCACCCGCGTCGCACCCGCGACTCCATCCTTCCCCTGCCACCTTGCCCACCTGCGCCCACATCAGATAACACACTAGACGAACGGACATAGACACACCACGTCACACAGGCGCACGCACACGGGGTGTGGCAGGCGTGGCACTTTCACGACATTAAAGGGTGTGCGCAGGGGATGGTCCCTGAGAGCCGTCCCTAGACGGTCCAGACTGGCATGGCACGGCAGGTGTGGCACTCTTCAAGGCGACCCAAGAAGCCCTAATAGCGTCCCAGGACTGCCCGAGAGGCTCTCCCCAGGAGGGCCCCAAGACGCCCTAAGAGGGCCCCTCAGACGGCCCAAGAGGCCTCCCAAACGGCCCAAGAGGCACCCACCAGGGCCCCACGAGAGCCCCAATAGAGGCCCAAGAGGGAGAGCGCGAACTGGCATTTCGAGCCTTCCGCCCCAAGATGGACTCAAGAACCCCCCAGAAGCTCCCGAGGCCCCCCCGAGACGCCCCAAGAGGCCCCCAAGACGCCCCAAGAGGCCCCCAAGAGACCCTCAGAAGACCCTAAGAGCCCTCCGAGTCTCTCGAGAGGTATCCCAAGAGACCTTCATATGCATCCAAGAGGCCCCTGAACACACAGCCCAGGCACGGTGGCGGGATGGGCCGAACGCCATCACATGAGAATTACAACAAGAATGTTAAAACGAGAAGCTGCTGCGATACGATGGCGCCGACCCTCTGGGTACGCCCCCATACCGTGTCGAAAGTGCCGCCCCCAGCTGGCGGAGGAGGTCGCAGCCGGAGAGCCCCTGGCCGGTGCACGCCAGGAATTTAAGGAGGCCACCTCGACGAAGCTGCCGGCGTAGGCCCTCGACGTGGGGAGCCGGGGGAGCAGGCTGCTCCCAGACCGCCAGCGTCGCGAAGAAATCGAGGCGAGGGGTCCTCACGGTGTCCGGCCCCTCGGCAACGACGCCGACGACGCCGACGACGACTGGGCGGGCGGGCCGCACTGCTCTGCGACGCGAGGCGGGCAGTGCCGGTGCCGCCCGCGCCCCCCCGCCCAGCGCGAGGCATGCTCGTAGCTCGCGCCCAAGCTTGGGTCGGGCATGTCCCCCTACAGGCGGGTTTTGGACGAAAAATAAAACATAGTCAAAAAATACCCCCAACTGGTCAACAACAGTCAAAACATCGTCCCCTGACTATGTTTGGCCTACTTTTGAAGACTCCTCCTGTGGAGGGAGAGGCCCGCCTCGGGGCACGCCCACGGGGGAAGCACAGGCGCGAGGACGGCGACGACGGTGACGTCGGTGACGACGGCGGCGGCGCGGGGGGGGGCCCGCCCGCTCGTCGAGGGCGGCGACGGCTCGCCTCGGGGTCCACCCAGGGGCCCTTCATGGAGCACATGCACGACAGGTGGTCCTGTCGGGCCGGCTGTGCGGCCGCCCCGCGCCCCCTCTCTTCGGGTCGGGGCTCGGGGGATGGAGGGCCAACGCCCCGCCGCCGCCGCCCTCCTTCTCCGGCACGGACAGACGCCCCCCTCCTGCAGCGTCTCCCGCCCGCGCCCCAGCTCGGATGCCCGCCGCCGCCGACTCCTTCGAGGAGGAGGAGGAGGAGGAGGAGGAGGAGGAGGAGGAGGAGGAGGAGTGCATAGCGCCAGGCCCCCTAGCGACCACTTGGATGCGGAGAGCGAGACCCCCAGCCACCCCAGCAGGCGACACGTAGGGGCGGCTGTAACCTCCCCGACCTTCGAGGATGGAGGATCAAACGTTTTGGGCGCTTTTTGCCATCCTCGGCCTCTGGCCTCTGCCAAGCTTCTCGCCGCCACTGCTGGGTCTCCCCCAACATGTTGGTCGAACCGCACATCCGCAGAGGTCTGGGCCCGAGGCAGGTTCCGCTCCTCCCGCCCCCCCTGCTGATGTGGCAATCCCCGGAGCAAGGCCTGTGGCCGTGGTGTCTGCGCGTGCCTGGAACGGCAACAACGGCAGTGCCGTGCGCAGCAGCAGCAGCAGCAGCAGCAGCGGTGCGACAGTAGAAGCGCCAGGGCAAACAAAAGGAGATCGAAACGCCCATACGGGGTCCCGGAAATCCCGACCCTTTCCCTGGGACCGTGTTTTCATCCCGAGCCTTCTTTGTTGACGGCCCCGGGGCCCGGCGAGGGCCCCAGGAGGCCGAAAACAGCGAAAACAGAAAACCGTTTGATTTTTGTTCGGGACTCGAGCATGTCTGGGTCCCCGCCTCTGGAATGGCCTCTTCCACACGGGGCTGCATATCCTCGACCTCCCCTGCCGGCCCTCTCCACCGGGGCCGGGCCAAGAGACTCCTGCCCGTCGCACACGCACTTCCCACCGAACAGCGCAGGCAGCTGATCCTCATCGACCAGCTCCAGCAGTGCCTCTCGGCGCTAGGGGGGGCTGGGGCGGACCGGGGGGGTGAAGGGATTTGGGGAGAGGAGGAGGAGGAGCAGCAGGAGGAGGAGGAGGAGGCGGAGGAGGAGGACAGGGAGGAGGAGGCG